GTTGGGCTCCTTGGGAATAAGACCTCATTTAAAATATTTTCTACAGGTTTTATATGTTAGTGTGACATCTAGAAGTTTTAACTGAATTTCAGTATATTGTTCAGCTCTAGTATTTTTTATCTCACTCCATCTATGTTGGTATGTCAAATTTTCAGGAACATGTGCCCCCTCCCTTTGCTTAATGCAGTTTAAATCAAATTTCTTACATAACTGGATGTCACTAATAGTTACGAAGTAAAAATCGTTCTTTTGTTAAGCAGGCAAAAATATTCCTCTAAACTAACATGAGTTCAAGCTCAAAGTATTGATATTAAGCCATCTTATGTCAATTCTGTATCAATGATTGGTACCCAAAAGTTTAATATTCCTATACGGTATTATGTATATCCAAACCTAATGGCAATAGAAATAGAGAATATCTACAAGAACATGACATGCATTTGAAGTTCTTCAGGCATGCTTTTTTTTTTTTTTTTTTGTATAAGCATTTGCACAGGTATTGTAATGCACATGTTTGTAACAAGTCTAAAATGGCCAAATATATACATCCAGATGTGGATGCACTCACACGGGCTATAATGAAGCTCTCGCTTCTTGTATGTAATCACTTCCTACAGTACAAATAAATTTGGTTAATAATAGTTTGCTACATATTAAACAGATTATAATGGAAATAATTCACAACCAAATAATAATTTATATAATGTATTATATTTTGACCTGATAATAATATCATGCACCTGCCATTTAGAATATAGCACTGAAGATACAACTACTGTGTTAGCGAACTATAAAACAAGTCTGACTAGTTCACACGCCTCTCGTATATCAAGGCAAACTGAGTGATGGTAAACAACCAAAATAAATGATACAAAGTAAGATGAGATGATCAATGACAAAACTGCAGATCATGATGAATGTACATGTGGTTACTCATAAAATGCTTACAAAACTCATGAAACAACCTATCTTCAAAATGATCAAGTTAATTTCTTTCATGTTGTATATTTACAAAAAAAAAAAAAAAAAATGGTTTAACAAAAACATCCTTTTAATTTCAGCATGAAAACAAAAGTTATCTTTGGATGACATTTGCATATCCACTCTGTTTTATCTTTATATTTGTTGATATTTTTATTCCCCTTCAATGTTTCTTACCTCCAACAAGAGTATATAATAATAATAATAATAATAATAATAATAATAATAATAAAAATCCAATTAAGTTTTGAGGCATAATTTTAAACAAAAGCATGTAAAGAAAAAATGTATAAATATCATTAGCAAGGTGTCAACATGAGCTTTTCCTGCATTCACAGCAAATTGTCCCAGCAGAATGTGTACATTTAGCAAGACTAAAGCCTTTTTTTTCCTCTGTGCTATTGTTCAATGTATTCAGCAGAAAGCAACACTCACTGAATAGCATTTCCCTTCTATGTAAATCATCTATGTGAAAATGATTCAGAGCAGCAAAAAGGTAAGACCATTATCCAGATCACAGATACACAAATTTCTTGAGAACACAGATTTTATACTGTATTTGTATGAGGTCAAAATAATTAACCAAATACAACTGATTATATAAAATGTGTGTGTACCGCATTCCAGAAAATTCAGTGGATTTACACCGATGTTTAAGTTTACTGCAGTCCAGAATGTTCAGCGATATCCACATGAGCTACCACATCACTCATAACTCACTCAAATGCTCAATTTCCTATCAAGCGAAAACATGCAGACTTAAACGTATATCAAGCGATGTTTCTAGAGATGGAAAGATGCTCCTGAATATTTAGTGACTCAATTAACTCATTAGTGTAGTTACCAGAATGAGATGTTGGTTGGGTTCCAAGTAATAAGAGGAACTGTGAGTGATCTATTGTTATGCCAATGTTCTATATAAAATAATCTTAACCTTAAATTCAATAAAAGTTTTCCTAAGTTGCACATTAATTTACAAATATATGGAAAATATTAAAGACGAAAAGGTATGTATTAGCATCCCTAATAAAGAAATGTTAGTGTGCATGTCTGAAAACTACAAATTATTGCCATGTGTATTAATGTTCTATCTTAATAAGCAAGTCCATACTCCTAACCTGCCAATCATTTATTCTCTACTTTATTTGATTAAGCAAAGGCAAGTAAATATTTAGCCCGAAGGCCCCCCCCCCAATTCTGTGCAGTATTATTTTTAATTTATTCACCACATTAAACAATTGTTGCCATTATAATATTCTGCACGACCAAACTGTTCAACAAGTTGACTCCTTAATAGCGCATGTTAATAAAAGAGTTAACAAAACAATGGGAAAACAATCACACATGATAGTTGGAGCACCATAGGGGTTAAAGCATGACAAGGGTAGTGCAGTGAAGCTTTCATAATAATTTGCTACCTTTCTTGCCAACAATAAATTACAATAAGAGTGTTAAACTAAAATAATATTAAAATTAAAAAAAAAAAAAGTAGGGAAAAATTATACTGCAATCTATGTATAAAGTTTGAGTTAAATAATAAATATAATTAAAAATTTGTTGCTACAATCACCAATTGGCGATAAAGAAAGAAAATTTGTGTTGTGAGGATGTAATCAAGTGGTGGTGGAATCTGGTCTACAAAGTTGTTGAACACACACACACACACACTGGTAAGAGTGTAGTGTGTGTGTGTGTGTGTAGTATTAAGTCTGGTGGGTGAATGAATAAATATGAAGATACAGAGTGCCAACACAACCATCAGCAATAGTCCAAGACAAACAACTAAGTGAAGCTGCTACATACCAAAATGTGTCCCAGATAATTGCACAACAACTTATCAATGATATGCCATAGTTGATTAGTTGGTGGGTGGTTGTGACTGTGGTAGGTGGTATTTAGTACTGTGGTAATGGGTGGACATTTGACCACTGCACCATAGGGGACAAACATGAAACAACCTGGTAACTGATCTGTGTGCAACATTACATCATGTCAAAATATTGATAATACTCTCAGTAAATAAAATTACTTATGAGACTTTTTATTGCTACCATAGTTTGTGTAGTTTTGCAGGGCATTTTACCAACAATTAATTTATAGTATATACAGTATCTATTTTTTACATACCAAAACCAAGTCTTGGAATGTCCAGAATTACATGTATACACATAGTGGACAAGGTGTGCAACACTCGGTTAAAGACTGTGGGGTAACTCGTTACATGAATACACAGGCAGCCTCGCCCTGGGTTAGGGCACCGCAATAAGTCTTACAAGCTTCCTCTTCCAAACTATGGAAACACTGTAAGGTCTTCAGGAGCATATTCACATATAGAACCAGGGTCCCACTGTATTAATACTGTACAGTAAACAGTAAAATCTTTGGAGTCATGCCATGATTAATGTCATCATAATTACATTATTTCTGACTTCTGTGATGTAAGGATATAATGTGACTATGAAATGTTTTTGTAACATGAGAGGTTAAGGAAACAATGAGAACAGTACTATCATTAGTGCTGGCTTTTTTTTTAAATAATGTTCACTGGACTGCAAAACTAATGTTAGTAAAGCTACAACTACAATTATCCAAGTCCTTACAAGCAAGCAAGCCGTTACTTTCAATAAGTCTACTCTCAACTTGACATTTCTCTACGGGACATTAAATAGAGTTCTACAAATAAAAGACTTTCTCTGAAGATAAGAGTGTTAAGTAAACACTTATGTAATTGGCTTTACTGTATTGGTCAGTAAAGCCAATACAGACAAGACAAACTGAATCCTTTATTTATGTAAGAAATGCTTGATAATTAAAGCACTTGGGCAATCTATGAGAAGCTTTTCCTGCCATTATGGCTTATTTCATTTATGTAAGTAAAACAGTCATTCAAGATAAGGCAGTAATGAGCATGGTCAGACCACAAACACTGCTCTTCATTATGTAGCCAACATGCTAGGTCACAGGTTCTTGTAAACAATCATCCAACTACCAAAATACTCTAGTATTTATTACACTAACCATTTGGGCTGGACAGTAGAGCGATGGTCTCGCTTCATGCAGGACAGCGTTCAATCCCTGACCGTACAAGTGGTTGATGGGCACCATTCCTTTCCCCCGTCCCATCCCAAATCCTCATCCTGACCCCTTCCCAAGTGCTATATAGTCATAATGGCTTGGCACTTTCCCCTGAAAATTCCATCCCTCCCACTAGTATTTATTATTGTGTGCATATATATATTATATATATATTATAGGAATTTTGTTTAAATCCAGAATTAAAGTAAGGTACTTTTGTTAAATCTCCTTATCTAAATTTCAGATAAAAAGTTGCTAGAGTATTGATTACTCTTCCTAAAGAAACCAACTTTACTACTTCCTCTTAAGAAAGTACTGTATACAAGTCATCTAAATGCCAGCATTCGTACACCATTTATGTGAAGCTATGTTATATTACTGTACTACCAAAACAGTGACTCGTTTAGTCTGGAGATGGTCGGAGATAAATCTAGAAGCCACATTCTGCGTGTGATATCTTGCAGAGAATGCAGGAAAATGTGTACATAATATGGATAAAAGACCAACAAAAAGATAAAATGGAGTGAAATTCAATATTGGGTTCTATTTCTTCCCAGCTAGGAAAACCATGGCATCTACATCTACAACATATAAACAATAATATAAATAAATAGCATATGATAAATTACTCTTGTTTGTGTAAAGTAACTACACATTCTCCTTACACATTAACTACTTTTCAGTATTACTGTAAAATTAAGAAGACCACAATTCTACAATGAGGTTTATTTTTGCATATATGCATGGGTGTTATGAATGAATGTATACATATATGCATTATATATATATATATAATATATATATATATATATATATATATATATATATATATATATATATATATATATATATATATATATATATATATATATATATATATATATATATATATATATATATATATATATATATATATATATATATATATATATATATATATATATATATATATAATTAGTTAACTTTGTTGACCTGGTGACAAATATTCTGGTGAAAGAACCACTGGGGGCCTATAAAATAAAATCATTATGGAAAACTAATGAACGCACAAATTAATGAATGATTTTCCTCTCTTCATATCTTATAATTCCATAGCATGTGTGTGAATACATAGTTCTTGTGCTTTCGGCAACCCACTCCCTAGCTGCTTAATACGACTCTTCCCTATGTACATGGCCTATTTATACAATGTGTACAAGTGATCTTTATACAGAGTTTACTTAAATATTACTTGAGCTCTTAACAAAATTATCAAACTCATAATTCTAACAAGAAGTATACTATATGCACATAATTATACAATAATGGATATGAATTTGGCTCTTAAATAATTTATTTACTAAAACTGACAAAAAGAGAATATTTGTATCATACTTGAAGGTATTATATTCATGAACATACATATATCCTGAATGCCCAAAATGGCTAACTTGCATCAGATGCACAATATACAAAGGAATCTCAATGTGAAAATTTACATCAATTATAAAACGTGACTGATAAAGTACAAGGTGCTCTTTGCCAACACACCACACCCATATCAACCATTAAATGCTTACCTTCTCTTATCACAAAAGATAAGAATATTCACCATTCTTAGTTACAGAAAAAGTAAGAAAAAGTACCTAATTATTCTATTGAAGTTAAAAGTATCCTAACAAAGAAAAATTTATTCCGAATGATATTCGGTTCGACACCTTGGACGTTTTCTTTGAAAACAAAATAGTTGTATACATTATCACAATTTGTAATTACAAAGAGTTATATGGGAGATAACGCTCACCCATTATTAACCAATACATGTATTAATACTCTCCCTTTGCATAACTATTACCAAATTAAAATTTTGATAAAGATATACATATGCAATATAAACATCAACTGTATTTTATCTAATAATTTTAGACAAATTCTAAACACAATCATTGTAAAAGCAAAGAATATTTCACTCCAAGAAATATTGGCAACCAAGTTCTGTCTTTAGATATTGAAGCATTATTTGTGAACAAGTTGAAACACTTGCTGGTTGTCGAGAAATCCTCGTATGTGCACCAGTTGTAATTTGGTGGTCGTGCAGAAACTCGACACTTCCAAAATCAGTGAAATGACGTGGTGAGATATATTCTTTTTAAACTGTGACCAGATATCTCGGCAATTCATATTAAGTGAAACTGTCTTGCATACGTGGAGACCAGCATTTATAATATTCAATTACATTTAGAGTATACGAGTAGGTGCATAATGCCTTGGTTTGTTTAGTTGAAACTGCATCCAAAAATAATGAATTAAAGCCATATTAGTGATTAATCCATTGACTACAACAAACTGTACACAAAACAAGGTGGAGGCCAAATTTTCTGTAGAGCAAGTGGTGTTCTATTCTTTAAAACCACACCTCACTAAAATGAAGGTTATATGTTTCTTGGTTATACCAAAAACAGAATATATATAACCTTTAATTTAGCTTACTTTAAACCTTCAGGATAATAAGGCTATTCTTTGCATTTACAATGATTCGATACCTCAGAGGATATCTCGATGCCATATCCACCGCCGGGTGGTGTGGTCAAAAGAATGTGAGAGCCACTGCTGCTCCAGCAGGCGGTAGCGGTCTTCGCTCAGGTACAGAGGCTTTCCGCGTCTGTAATTATTAATGTATACAATTTAGAGTTTATGTAAGATGCACTGAAAATGTGCTTAATAATGTAGCATCCAATTATGCTATTACATATTAAAAAGATCTTGGACCCTAAACAGTAACAAGTTTATTTCATTCAAGAAGCTGGGTAAAACCTACAATTTGGACAAGGTAATTATAATTAGTTTAAGCGCACCTAAAAAAAAAAACAGCGTTGAACATAATGAAACGCCATTTTCTAGGCGAGCCCTGGAAGCTCCCTGCAGCTATTGGGTTAACATGTGAATCATTAGACCGGGGCATTAGTCTATGGAGTTCTGCCTACCAGGGACCATGGCCCCCCCTCGGAGAGGTGCAGGGAGCAATGGCCCTAGAAACCTCCCCCCCCCCCTGTGGTAGGGGGGTTTATCTTTGTCTGCCTTATCTGCCATCAACTGGGGTTAGGCACCAAGAAAGGTTGGCATAACAAAACAGATCCCACATGGTAAGAAAAATACAACCGAAAGCTGAACAGAGAGGTAGAACTCCCTCAATTCCCAAGGAAACAAGCAAACGAGGGAGTTCTACCTCCCTGTTCAGCTTTCGGTTGAACTTTTCTCACCTTGTGGGATCTGTTTTGTTATGCCAGCCTTTTAACCCCGGTCGATGGCAGAAAAGGTTAACCCCCAAGTCCAGGCTATTGCTCCTTGTGCCTCTCTGAGGGGACCTTGTTCTGGCTAGTGGTTCCTGGTAGGCAGAACTTCATAGACTAACGCCCCTGTCTAATGATTCGCATATTAGCCTGATAGCTCCATGGAGACGAAGGAGCTCCCCACAGAAAACTATCTAGAAATAGTGCAGCTATAATTGTCCAGCTTTTCCCAAGAAGGAAATTCAGTGAAACTTATTTAACAGTTATCAGTCATGAGACAAGTTTATTAGTGCTTTGATACAAAATTCTTACTTTATTTATTAACTATTATATTCTGTATTATATACTGTGCAATATACTTATATCTATACTGTATAACCTAAGTTTAATATTGTCTTTTGTAATAGTGCAATTAACAAAGATATCTCCATTTTTTACCAGTTTTTTTGTTATCCAAAACATTTATGCATAAATCTTCTTTTAATGAGAAAATTTGTGGCATCGAGCCATTCTGATGAAATCTGCATGAACCATCCTGGCATAACCTGTCATTTCATGTCATATCAGCAGTCATTAGCATAGGATACATGTCGGCAGTCTTATTGTCATGTAATAGACCAGTGTTCACAAAGTTCCCCCACCTAGCCCAGCTTTGTTCAAATCCACAAGGTGGATATTATGACATGACATTATGACATGACATTCAGCTCATACATGTCGATGTTTGCAGATGATGCAAAGTTAATGAGGAGAGGATTGGAGGGTGACCTTGACAAACTTCAGTAGAGTAGGTAGATTACTAGAATTCAATCCAAATAAATGTAAAGTAATAAAAATGGTAATGAAGATAGGAGACTTGTATTTACCTACACCACATGGTGAAGGAAATTACAAAAAACAATGACACACACACCTGCGAGTAGACATAATTCCAACTTAACACCAGAAGCTAATGTGAACAGGGTAACATCAGCAGCTTATGAGAAGTTTGCAAACAATGTCTCAAGAACCTAAACAAGGAGACTTTCAAGTCCATACACATTAAGTGAGACTTAGATCATTACCATGCAGCATTATGGTATGCAGCATCAGCATGAAACCAACACCTTGTGAAACATAAATAGAAATTTGATTAAGTTCAGAAGTTTGCAACTAGATTAGTACCATACAAGATCTTGAGGGGAATATGCAATGTGGATAAAGGAAGTTTATTTAAATAAAAACCAAGTCTAAGAGATGCAAGGAAATTCTCATTCCCTGAATGGGAGGTTGGCAAGTGGAATACGTTAAAGGAAGAGGTTGTTGAAGGCAATTCTATCCACAACTTTAACCTCTAGGCTGCTCTTGCATTTAAAGCCTACAACACATCCAGGCGCAAAAAAAAAAAAAAAGGAATTGTCTTATATAAGTGTTCATTTGTGTTCCCTGATCACGGGGGAAAAAAAAGGTAGGTGGCATATTTTGGCTGCAATAGGGTGAGGAAGTCTAGCAAAAAAGAGGCACTGACAGAGCAAGCATCGGAGGCGGTCAGCTCCACTCAAGCTGTCAGGCGGGAGTTGCCACAAAGATATTATTACCTAATTATTTCAATGCCTCTGATTTATGTTTTCTTAGTTTTTTGCAGTAATATTATTCAATAGTGAGTAGTGTGATATATTTATGAAATAAAATGTGTGAACCATCGCTATGCTATACTCAAAATTATTGTGTGCATATTAATGATTCAATTATTATGTTCATAAAACAATAAACAAAGTTTTGCTGTTATTACACTTTATACACAGGTTATATATATATAAGTATATGCATGTTTTGTTCACCATAGCAAACCACTAAGTTGGTATTGTGAGTCAAAAAGCAACGAGGAGTGACCGCCACACACCAGCCAGCCAACCACTCGCCGCCACTCCCTTCCTCAACAACACCACCCTCAAAAACACCTCACTCTCCAACATTCCTCCTCCATCCATACTGTTTTTGTTTTTATTCACTATATACTCACGTTATATGTAAGTATCTATATGTTTTGTTCACCATAACTGTACAACTAAGCTGGTATGGTGAATTCAGGCAATAAGAGACGTCGCTACACACACAGTCAGCTGGAGGCTGCCGCCGTCACTGGTTCAAGGCCAGACGCACTAACATTTCTCCCCCAACAATAGTGTTTGTGATGTTATTACACTATATATACACATTATGTTTAAGTATCTACATGTTTTATTCACCATAACTGTACAACTAAGCTGGTATGGTGCCCAAAGAGCATAGTGGCCACCCTCTACACAGCTAGACAAGTAATGCAGATGACATCACCTCCGTCATCCAAATGCCTAATAACCTTGACCTCCCAACATAATCCTTTTGCTGTTATTACACTAATACACACATTATATATAAGCATCTACATTTGTGTACACCATAGAGAACCACTGAGCTGGCATGGTGAATGCAGACAATAACAGGTGGCCACACAAAGAGCCAGCAGACGACACTATCTCCCTCCTTCCCTCAGCATTACCTATACTCCTTCCACCATACAGCACAGCGCTAATTATCACAACAATCCTGCTATTATCAGAATCCTGGTCATTTTTATCAGTCAGGGGTCTTCTGTAATATTATCATTGCTAATATCATTTACATATATTTTTTACATTTTTAGGTGATGCTGTGGTCACAAGGTGAACAGCAATACTGTTAGCTTATGCTGCATGCACCAGCCTTGGTTGCTCAGTCAGTACTGAGGCTCTCACGGCCAGGAATGTTACCCACCATTTTTTTTTTTAAATGGTGTGTTTACAAGAGCCCTGTGGAAGCTGATGTGAACCCTGTGTAGCCACGGGACTTTTAAATCTTGCATGGTACTCCAACATATCAATAGCTGTGGTGCGCAATTCCGTGACAATTACTCACCACAGCTCACTACACTAATTACTCACTATTGAAGTGCTGCGCAGTTTAAGGGGGCGTTATTCGGGTATCATAAAGTTGTTGTTTAGTGTCAACCATTATTTTTGACTAGTTGTATATGAAAAGGGCTACAATTGTTCGAAGTTTCAGCACTGTAGCCTAAATAGTAAGGGAGATTTTTATTTTTTTTTATTTTTTTCAACAAATTTTACACATTTTCAAGTGTAAATTTACAACCACACCTTTCAGATATAATCATTCTATGACACTTTTCTGACACATTAACATATAATAAAGGATCTCTAGCAAAAGATTTTCCAAAACATCTTTAGTTTTCCTAATACAAATAGTCTAAGTTCCCCCCCAAAATTATGCAAATATATCATGTTTATTGCTATTATAAAGTCAATAAAGAACTCAAGATAAAAACATTTGCAAACGATTTAAGAGACAAAAATTTTTTATATAATGTGTAAGTTTCATGTAAATTGCATAAAAAATGAAAAAGATATTCATGTTCAAGTAACAAACTTTCAAGTAAGTAAAAAATAAAGTCTAAGGTGTTGCCCTCTGTGGCTGAAGTTGACATCAACCAATTTCCTCCAAAATTGGCATCCTTACAGATAGGCTTACGTGCAGTCAGGTGTATAAGTCTCATGCAAATCGCCCCATAAACAAAAGAGAGAGATAAAATTAAAAAAAAAAAAAAAGTGAAATTTGACTTTTTTTTTTTAACTACATTTTTTGTTAATAAAACTAATTATAATTTGTTTTTAATATATGCTATTGTGATACCTGTGAGTCATAGACATGATTTCAGTTGACATTTTTGTTTGATAATCTTTTTTGACCATTTTTGAACATTTTTGACACAATTCAATATTTTTTTTCATCCTTCCTATTTATGCTACGATGCTGAGACTTGGACCAAATGAAACCCTTTTCATATACAACTTGTCAAAAAAGTTTGATTGAAATTGAACGAGTTTTCATTTTTTGCATATTTTGTGAATAACGCCCCCTTAAGGGTTAAGAAAGCAAAGGACCTAGATCATAATATATATCTACCAAAAGGAATACAGAATTATATGAACATGTTTGTTGATGAAGGTAAGCAACTATGGAAGATAAGAGACTTAAACATTCCCTCCAAAATGACCTAGAAAAAAAATAAGTGAATGGAGCACGATGTGGCAAATGGAATTCAATATGAATAAATGTCATGTTACAGAATGTAGGAGAAAAAAAAAACCCACACACACACACAAAACCAACAAATTATGTGCAAATTAAAGATCTCTAACAATGATAGAGATCTAGAAGTGGTTCTGGATAGAACACTCAGGAATACATAAAGGACACTGTGCAAGGAGCATATACTAAGCTTTCCAAGTTCAGAATCGCTTTTAAATACATGGATTGTGAAATACTAAAGAAAATGTTCGCAACTTTTTTGAGATCAAAACTGGAATAAGCAGCAGTTGTATGATGCCCCATACTCAAGAAGCACTTCAATAAACTGGAAAAAAAGTGCAAAGGTATGCTACAAAATGGCTTATGGAACTGAAAAACAAGAACTATGAAGAGAGGCTAGAGGCATTAAATATGTCAATGATAAAAGAAAATGAGATATGATCACATCAAACAAAATAGTAACAGGAATTGACAAAATTGACAGAGGAATTCTTGAAACCAGCAACTTCAAAAACAAAAGGTCTGAGTCAAACTAAAAAAACAAAGGTGCCAAAAAAAATATTAGAAAATTTTCTTCTGTAAACAGATCATCAGACAGTTAGAACAAGTTATGAGAGGTGGTGGTGGTGGCCAAAAACATCAGCCGTTCAAAGTATCATATGACAAAAAATACTGGGATGATAAGACACCACAAGCGTAGCCCTCATCCTGTAACTACACTCCTGTGTAGTCACTGATAGGTGAGCCTGTTTAATGAGTCACATTCTACTGTATATAACCTGCCAGTGTTCTCTTATTGTTAGTGATGCATTGTTCAATTTTCTTTGTGTGTCCTTCAAGACCACCCATCTTAAAGTCTGGTATTGTATAAATCCTTCAACACACTCAATATTTTTGTTAAACTTTATGAGGCTGTATACTGTAGTACTGGCCATACACAGATGGTTATAATGTTATAAATGTCCTCATTAATCCTTACTTGTATTTTTGTAACAAGTTTGTAGGTTACTTACTTGAGTTCACGATCTTCTTCCCCAAAGGAGTCTAGATGAATACAGCCCCAGAGACAGACACGTGGGCCACGAATCACAATCACCGTTGAAGCATTCACAACAAGGAAAATGGCTGTGCCAGCACCACAGTCAATAGCATGTTGGACACACTCGTACACCTCCTGCTGTTTACAACATGGCTCTCTCAAGCAGACTATAGTGCCACACAGCAAGCAAACGCTCGGATCCTTTGGGACACCATTGCACTGAGAGCACTGCCGTCTGTGGTAGTACTGAATAATAAAAGTATGTTGTTGGTGATCAAGATAACCCTTCAGTAAGATTGCAGTAAATCTATATTCATTTGCATTACTAATGAAACAATTTATTTGAATAAGTGTATAAAAACAGAGAGATCCATCTTGTACTTACCATAATACCTTAGTATATAAATATCTTTGTAATAAATAATAACAAATAAATAATACTTTTTAAATGGAGCTACACATGATAAATGCTTTGCTAATTCTTGCAATATTTTCAACAACAGACAGGCCTCATTTGGTCTCAACATATTCAAACACCACCACCATTATATAGGGTCGAGTCAAGCATCTGCAGCGTAGAAAGATATTTTCTCTAAAATGTACATCCAGTAAATGTGTATTTAGTGAAGGTATGCAATGCTTGAATAAATATGGATCTATTGTAATAATAATAATAATAAAAAAAAAGAGTTGAATGTAATAAGACGCCATTTTCAGGGTGAGACCCGGAGGCTCCCCGGAGCTATACCGGGCTGATGAGTATATAATAGGCCGTGACAACAGTCAATCGAAGGAGTTTAAGTCTACCAGGGACTAGAGCCAGAACCTGGCCCCCTCAAGAGAGGCACGAGGAGCAATGGCCTAAAAACACCCCTGTGTAATTGGAAGCAGTCTTTGTTTGCCATCTACCAGGTCAGGCACCCAGAAAGGTAGGAATTCCAAAACAAACGCCGCGCATCGGTCTGCGCAAACACCCCCCCCCCCCTGCCCGGGAGGGGGACGGGAGGGTCCCAGACCTACACGCTGGCAACTCTCATCAGTTCAGAGGACGAGTATCAAAATCGCAAAAAAAAAAAAAGGCTGACCAGAGGGAGAGGGGGATGCGGGGAAGCCTCTGGGTCTCACCCAGAAAATGGCGTTCCATTACACTCAATGCTGGTTTTCTGTGGAGAGCCCCTTCGAGTTCCCGGAGCTACCTAACCACAGATAAGAAGAAAAGGGACTCGGCTTGGAGGCGGTCGTCACTTGCTCAACTCAAAGTCGAGACAACAGGCTGCAACCTGCGACCCAAGGCTATACACGCTAAAGAAGGACTAGGAACATTAACAAGGTAATGTGCAGCCAGGACCCTGTTCAACCTCCAAAAGCCCTGTGCCCAAAAGATAGGCCAGGACATTGCCAAAACAGCAGCCGAAAGCTGAACTTACGAACAGCGTGGGCATGTGGAAAGACCGCAGGCTGGCTGGACCGAATAATCCTACGGACAACCTGGGAAACCCGCGCCCTGGAATCGGGAAGAAGGAAAACTGGGTCAACCCAAAGCGTGTCCTCTGCCACAGAGACCTTAATGCGCAAATAACGGTGCAGAGCCACAGACTCAAAACATGATGCACCCCCGGCCAAACCAACCAAGCATCGACAACCCAAGGACATCTTCGGAAAGCAGCAGACTCATTCTTCGCCAGAAATAAAGGAGACGGCTGCAAACGAAGAAAAGACCACCAGGACCAAAAGAGCAAAAACCCCTGCGCCGGAGGAGAGCATAAAACTCTCTGAACCGACCCCACAGAGGCCAAAGCCAACAAAAGAGCCTTGGAAAAACAGTCCTGAACCGAGGGGGCCACCACAAACTGTAGAGAAGGGAGAAGAGAGCACCTGGTGCCACGACCAGGACAGCACAGGCGGCCCATGAGCAGGCCGGAGGTGAAAACAGTGCCACCCGAAACGAGGCGACAATATCTGGCATAAGAAGACGGTCGTTAACCCTTAAATAGCGCATAGCTATATACCATTTGACACCCACAGGCGCATACCAAAAAAAAAAAAAAAAAAATTATTTTTTCTTCCTAACCTGGTAATTTGTGTTCACTGATCACGGGAAAAATAATAAAAAAATCGTAAGTGGCATATATTGCCCACTATAGGGCGGGGAAGTGTGACAAAAATCAGGCGCTGACTCAGCGTGCGTCCCAAGGCAGTCTGTTGATCGCCAGCTGTCAGGCCAGAGTTGCCACAAAGAGATAATTACCTAATTATTTCAATGTCTGATTTTTCGTAGTTTTTTTGCTGTAATATTATTCAATAGTGTGTAGTGTGATATATTTATATAATAAAATGAGTGAATCATCGCTGTACTCAAAAATATGGTGTGCGTCTTGTTGATTCAATTATGTTCATCAAACAGTGAACAAATACTTTGTCGGTTATTTCACTATATACACAGGTTATATATAAGTATCTGCATGTTTTGTTCACCATGACAAACCACTAAGTTGGTATGCTGAGTGGCAGTGGCAGGCAGTGACTGGCTGCCACTCCCTCCCTCACCTCACCTGCCTTGCCACCATTCTCCACCCACCATACTGTTTTTGCTTTCATATACAGACGTTATATATAAGTATTTACATGTTTTGTTCACCATAACTGTACATCTAAGCTTGTATGGTGAGTAAAGGCAGAGAGACGTAGCTACTCACACAGTCAACTGGTGGCGGCTGCCCTCAAGGCCAGACGCACTAATATTTCTCCTACAACAATACTGTTTGTGGTGTTATTACGCTACATACACACATTATATATAAATATCTACCTGTTTTATTCACCATACTTGTACAAGTAAACTGGTATGGTGCCCAAAGACCATCGTGGTCATCAGTAAACAACATGATAAGTCCTGCTTACGACGCTGCTCCCTCACCAAAATGGCAGCTCCCAACCTCCTACTCTCGCTGTTATCTCACACTATACACACGTTATATATAAGTATCTACATTTGTGTTCACCATAGCGAACCACTAAGCTGGTATGGTGAGTGCAGTCAATAAAAGGTGGCCACACACAGTCAGAAGACATCGCCACCACCGTCCCTCCCACAGCATTACTCCTCCCTCCATGGCGCACAGCGCCAAATATCACCACAATCCTGCTATTATCAGAACCCTGGTCAGTTTTATCACAGTCAGGGGTCTTCTGTAATAATATCATCGCTACATAATAGCATGAACAAGTATATTATGGCATTTATAGGCGATGCTGTGGTCGCAAGCTGAACAGCAGTGCTTTGAGCTCATGCTGCGTGCGTCAGGCTTGGTAGCTCACTCAATACTGAGGCCCCTAACACCCTAGAGTTAGGCCCACGATTTTTTAAAAAAATGGCGTCTGTTTACAAGAGCCCTGATGAAGGTGTGGTGAACCCTGTGTATCCGCGGGCCGTTTAAATCTTGCGTAGTACTCCAAAGCATCATATGATGCGATGCACAATTTACTGCAAGTCGGTCAAAGCATCATATGATGCGATGCGCAATTGAAGGGTTAAACAACCAACAGAGAAAGGACAAAACAACCTACAAAGAGCCAAGTGCCAAAAAGCCCACCAGGAAATTTCATACTGCCATCGAAACGAAACTCGCAGGTGGGACACCAACTAAGCCACCTGATCACCATACAAGTGGTGATAAACCCGCATCAAAAATGCCAGACGCGAGAAACAGAGAAGATTGAATCAGCCACGTACCGGAATGGACCGATGTGCTGAAAAAGGCAGAGCCTCGGGAAGAACCTCGGGTTCGGACATTGAGCAAGAAGCGCCTGAAAACTGGGCTGGGCTGGCCACCTAAGAGCCAACAGGACTACTTGTCCCTGGTAAATCTCTCTAAGCTAATCAGGATCGGGAGCAACAACTGAACCAGTGGGAAAAAAGAGTAAATACATTTGTGAGCATGTGTGCCAATGGGTGCTCGCTCACAGATAACGCTTGGCTGACTTTTGGTTTTGCTGCGGGTGGGGCTCGCCAGGTTTTTGGACCTCATGTGTGTTTATCCCTGTAGGGAATTCTATTGCGAACAAATTGATACAAAATTGAAAGACATAGCATGAGAATTGAGGTGACTAAGGTGAGGTAAACTCTTGCGAGCTCACGGGTAACACTTGGCCGATTTCTGGGTTTGGTCCAGGTGGCATGCCAGGCTTTAGGACCTTGTATGCATATACTCCTGTATGGAATTCTATTGTGAACATTTTGATACCAATCTGAATGACGTACAACAAAAATTGAGGTGATAAAACTGAAAAGAGTACACACATTTCAGTGTTGCCGCACTCTCCCGAGAAATGCCCGGGCCACCTTGGGGTAGTCTGGTGTACACACGCCTAAACACGAAAGAGTTAAGAAGGCCATGGGGCTGAGCTGTAATTAAGGAACCAGTTGGGAAGGATAAAACTTTTTTCTTTTTGTGAAGCTGAGCCAAAAATGAAAAGGCAGCCTCCCAAAATGGAGGTCTGGAATAAGGAACCAAAAACGGGATAAAATGTTTTCACTATTTTCACTCTGGTCACCTCAATTTTTGTCCTAGGTCTTTCATTTTGGTCTCAATGGGTTCGTAATAAAATTCTCTAGAGGAACATTAGCATATAAAAAAAAACACCTGGTCACGCTCCAACCGCCGACGAGTTGAAGACGGGCCACGCGTTAGCCGTGAGTGAGCGCTCAGAGGCCTTCCTACTACACTCCCAATTCCCACCCTTTTCAAGCCTTTCTTTCGCAATTTTCTTCCTGGAAGGGCCTTGTTCATGATTACTATCCATCGTGGAGTAAGCGTAGATAGTTTCTAAAGCCGCAGTAAGAAATATAGCCACGGAAAATAGCCGAAATGTTCACACGTTTGAGATGCGAGGGGAGACGACATTGGTCACAACAGTGGAGCAAAGACAATGGGCCCACGGCGTGTGCCAAGCCGCCTGAGGGCCACGAGGCTCAACAAAGGAAATGGGAAGACATCGGCGCACATTCTAAAACCAAAAAATCGGATACAAAGTTGGCGAAGGATAAATGCTGCTCAGAAATTCTGGCGGTACAAAGCTGCTTAAGTGCCCTTTGTCAATAACTCTTCTAAAAATGGAGTCAGCCCTGGAGAAGGTTGAGCCACACCCAGAGCTAAACCCTGCTAGACCCCAAAAACCTCTCACATTTCGGAACTCGAAGCAGGGGAAGAAGGATTTGGAGGGGAGTGAAGGGGGGTGAAGAAAACAGAATCTGGGCAAACCAAACCCAATGGGAGGGAAAAGGAGATGCAGCCAGAGCTAAGGTGGAATTCAACACCTCCAATTCCAGTTTCTCAAACACCAAACAGGCCAACTCCAGGGCATTCAAATGGGCACAAAGCCACAAACTATTGAAGGTGAGCATAATGAGCCCATAACGTGGTAGCTGCCTGATAAAACTTCCACCTCGGAAACAGGATTTGAGAACACAGAGACCCATGAGGAATTATCAAATGAAATCTGTATTTTTATCACACGATTATTATTTGGAAATAAAGTAGCTTCAAAAATTAATCATAGAATTAGTAAGGAATATTACACTCATACATTGTACACCTTCAGAATCTCACATTAATACTCTAACAGAGGCCATAGGTATTAAGAAACCTAGCAAGAAAAACTTACTTGAAAAATGGCATCATATGAGTGTGGTAGACGAAGGAGACGGGGCTGTGAGAACTGAACAGTAGTGAGAAGTGTAGAGGCAGCGACTTGTGCTTGAGAAGCAAACGTGGCAACTTCACTACACCACACCCTTGCACCACCCGCTAGGTTCCCCAAACGAGTTTCAACTGGACTCGATACCTCACTTGCGTGGTACCTACCACACATGTTACCTGTAACACCACCATTAATACCATTAAGACAACTCAATTCCTTCCCCTTCATATAAATGCTAAGGCACTGTACTAAGTTTCTCCAATAGTATTAATAATAATGAACAAATCCACATGGGCCTTGATGAGAGTTCAAACCAATGATCTGGATGTTCCCAGATGCATTCTAGTCAACTGTTCCACAACACAGTAAAGGTTTTTTTTTTTACCATGTCGTGGTACAGTTGACTAGAGCGTGTCTGGGGACATCCAGTGTATAGGTTCGAACCCTCATTAAGGCCCTTGTGGATTTGTTCCTTGATTCAATACATCATGTTATTGTGATTTCTGTTTAATAATAATAAATAATAATAAATAAAAAAAAAATAAAAAAAAAATAAAAAAAAAATAATAATAACAACAACAACAACAATTTCACACAATTCCCCCATGCAATCGGGATAATAATAATAATAATACCAATAATAATAATAATAATAACAATAATAAACAATAATAATAAATTTGTTATGACAGTTCAGAAAAGTTAAACAAAAATTTAGAAGTGAGCTTATAAAGACTTTAGAGTGCTTGGAAGTGAAGCCATGTGTTAGAATGATAATGATTGTAAATTTAGCGACCATTGAGCAATACCACTCACTCACCCATAATGGCAGAGTTGACAACTGAACAAATATCCCACACTCCCAAGTACTGTTCAAGAGCACCGCACTCTGCAATGGGATCCACTATCATGGGTGAATTTTCTTCCATCAGATGCGCTTTTAGTAGTGCAGCAATCCTCAGGAATAACAGACACGTTTCTCGAACCTGAGAACATAAAAGGGAAGGCGCGAGAATCATTAGATATTGTACTACAAAAATACTGCACACTTCAATATTCAAATGCAATTCAGCGTCACTGCAAACTAATGGTAAAAGCTTTTTTATCAAGGAAAATTATTATTCAAGACCCGACCAATACCTAGGTACAATACAAGCCTAAAATACACACTACCCAGTAAAGGTGGCTCATGGGCCTATACAGCTTACAATAGCCATTGCATAATAACAGCTTAAAATCCAGTCAGACTTGCAAATCCATAAAATATGGTCGATAATACATTCATTGAAAATTGTCAAGGAAATCAACTCTTATCGAGTGTCAATTTAATACGGGGGAAATTTTATTTAGTTTGTCAAGAGGTTCTCATACGTTAACAAGTTTTACAAGAGCTCATATTAATAAGCTAATGCAGCCAAACTGGTCCTCCTTATCTGGGCATAAAACTGAGGTAGAGTTAATCATACATCCAATATTAAATTCCCTTTCAAGGAAAGTTTGGCTTTTCTGTGCAATTTTGTAAGCAAACATTTGACTATGGGACAACAATTATTTAGTGTAAATTATTTGCTAAGTTTGCATTCCATCAAATTTTTTTTATGAAATTATGATTCTTGATGCTTTGTTTTTATGTTTTCTGAGGGTTCTGTATATTTGATGCGCATCATTACAAAATATTTAACACTTTCGATGCCCAATCACGCATATTCCATCACAACCAAAATTTGGAGAGTGAATGATGACTCAAACGGCATCATTAATTTTAAAATTTGTAAAAAACCAGCGTTGAATGTAATGAAACGCCATTTTCTGGGAGAGACCTGGGGGCTTCCTGGAGCTATACCGGACTGATGTGTATATATTAGACCATAGCAACAGTCAATCGAAAGAGTTCTAAGCCTACCGGGGACCAGAGCCAGAACCTGGCCTGCCTCAAGAGAAGCACAAGGAGAAATGGCCTAAACACATCCAGTGTAATTGGAAGCAGTCTTTGTCTGCCATCTACCAGGTCAGGCACCCAGAAAGGTACGAATTTCAAAACAAACTACTGCTGGTCAAAAATTGCAAACCAAAAGCTGAACTAGCAAACAGTTCTAGCCCCAATCAAAAACAAGGAAACAAACATGAGGTCACCACAACCGCCGTGCATCCGTCTGCACAACCCCCCTTCCCCGGGAGGGGGACGGGGGGCCCAAACCTCCACGCCGGCAACTCTCCTCAGTTCAGAGGCAGAGTATAAAAAATGCGAAAAACTGCCGACCGTGAGGGATGGGAGGAATGCTGGGGAGCTTCCGGGTCTCGCCCAGAAAATGGCGTTTCATTACATTCAATGCTGGCTTTCTGTGGAGAGCCCCTTCGGTTCCCCGGAGCTACCTAACCACAGATAAGAAAAGGGACTCACCCTGGAGGTGGTCGTCACTCACTCCTAAACTCAAAGTTGAGACAACAGGCCGCAACCTGCGACCCAAGGCTATACACGCTTAACTGTGGAGAAGGGAGAAGAGAGCACCCGGTTCAACGACCAGGATAGCTCAGGCGGCGCATGAGCAGGCCGGAGGTGAAAACAACGCCCGAGAAAGCTTGTGGAACAGAGTAGAAGTGACATCCACCCCAAAAGCAAGCTGCAGTGGCTCCACCAGCTCCGCCCGATACAAGGCGACAGTATCTGGCATAAGCTGAGGGTCCTGAAACAACCAAGAGAGAGACCAAAACAAGCCGACCAGAATTCGAAGACAACCTACGGAGAGACAAAGTGCCGAAAGGTCCGCCAGGAAATTTCATACTGCCTTTCTCGGTGCCTGACCTGGTAGATGGCAGACAAAGACTGCTTCCAATTACACGGGGGTATCTTTAGGCCATTGCTCCTCGTGCCTCTCTTGAGGGGGCCAGGTTCTGGTCCTCCTCATTCTATTGCAAACAATTTGATACCAAATTGAAAGATGTAGCACAAAGATTGAGGTGAGAAAGCTGAAAAAAGTGTAAACACTGGAGTGAGGTTGTGTGCTCACGGGCAACGCTTGGCTGACCTCGCGGTGTGTGGCGGGTCGCCTGCCAGGCCAGCGAAAGTGTTACTGTCCATTCTCCTTTGAAAAGTCAACATACTCCTTCCCTCCTCTGATAAACAAATTTCCAAGATATCATTTGTAGTTTACAAGTGATGTAAACACTCAATTTGTAGGAGGTTTACAATGTAACTTTAACATACTTTCATGTGCACTACCACTACTATATTCTCAAGTTCTACAGACTCCCATTAGAATAAACCATGGCATGCATCAACACATCATAAACCCCAGTTTCCTCAACAGTACCAGCAGTACTGCAATATGCAACCAACTTCACTTTCCTACACATGTAAGTGTTTACACAAACTTTTGAAATAACAAGTATATTACTTATTCTGACAAAATAATTTATATCAATGTTTACATTTGTACACTTCAGTGATACTTACACAAACTGAGACACACAAATGGTGTTGAAGCATGCATCAAGGCTCACCTGGCAAGTAACATCATTAACAGTCCATGCCTCTTGTGTATGATCTGCTAGTGGTACTTGGTCATCACAGAAGAAGGGGCTATCCCGTAAGGTGTTGTGAGCCAGTGCTAGAAGAGGAGCAAGGGGGCCACTAGTGGTAGCCTGCTCCCTCTGACTCTCATTAAGCGACCGAAGAGCAGAAACGGCTGCACCAACAACTGCAACTCTGTACACATTTCCCACAACACACCTTAAATAACCTAGGGAGATAAAATCTTGTTTAAAGGTAATTCAACTTAATAAAGAGGCAAGTAAATGACCAACATATATTGATATTATCTCTAATGTAATATTTACTTGTGCATGGACAGCGCAAGCCCAAAAAATTAAATAATAAATATTATTGAAATACGAAAAATAAAAACATTGTTAAGCACCATTGTTATTATGCTATCTGTTTGGCAGTAAAGAAGAGACAGGAAGCTGACAGATACGAGCAAGAGTAGGGGGCTGTGGAGGGTGGTGGAAAGTAGTGCGGGAGTGGAGGGTAGTAAGGAAAGTTGTAGAACAGTAGGCAGACTTGGAGGCTGAAAAAAAAGGGCAGAATTGGTACAGAATAGATGTGTGGGGCACTATGGAGGGAGCATGGGGGAACTGATCTTCCTGGGGAGGGGGGGGGGGGGAATACTGAACAGTTGGTAGGTTTGACCTGGGAAATGTCCTGGAGGTTGAGCTTGGGTTTAGCATTCTCTGCCAGTCGTGTGTACAGTGTGTATATGTGACACTTCCTGATTGCTTCCCCTGGTATGCTGGTACTCTCATACAAAAGGAACAGTGTGCTTTTTAAAACAGAATGGCTATACATGAATCTTTTATGCCTCTAACATGGTAACACATACAAATATTTTAAACTATTAATGCTTGGAGCATGAAAAATAAAAAACACCAATAAGATTGCCACACAAGATACACTAGACATACCCTGATCTATCCGGGAAGGTAACAGAAGAATCAACTGCAAGAGAAGTGTAACTGGGTCACGCAAAAGTAGAGGAACTTCTCTTTCTCTTGGTGTAACAGCTCCTTCACTCCCAATCACTGGTCGCTGTGTGATGGAAGCCCAAGTTTGTCTGATCCAATGTAATCCTCCTCCCACTCCGCCAGCTGACGAGTCTCCACCTCCACTCAAAATTTTGGAATGAAATCCAAGAACATGAAGGAGAGGCACTGAAAATATAAAATAATGTGGTAAATCTTTGGCACTATTATATACAGTATATAGATACAAAAAGTACTAGGTATTGAATTATCAACATATATTCAGTATCATTAGAATAAACTGACACGTTACAATAGAAAAAATCCCCCTTTCCCTCAAAAAAAAAGTGTTTTTATTTGCAGCAGCTGTGAGGAAGGGTTCCTTAATAGGCCACATGGCACCTTGGGCCATGGACCCATGCGGTTGCCCTATTGTTTTGTTGACACCGCGAGTGACTGGACTGCTCTCCTCTCGCGTCTAATACTTGTGCACATTTTAGCATTTATATCTGTTCCCGTGTGTTTTCAACCCATTATATACATTATACGATGGATCCTGGTCAAAGGCCAAGTAGTTCTAAGACTAAAGGAGCGAAGGATTCATCCAAAAAGGATAAGATAAGTATGCTTTACAAGAAGTACAGTCGAGTGAAGGTCACACCCACAAAGATTCCGGGGTTAGTTGAAGAATTTTCTGATATTGAGTCAGATATTGAACATGAGGAACCCCTGAGTGATTTCAATAGTGACAATTTAGAATCAGAAACAGGAGATTATGATGTTTCTACAAGCGAGGCACTTGCGCCGCCACCTCCTACTCGAAAGCAGATCCTGGTAATACCTGGTGTAGTGACAACACTCCACCACTTGTTGATGATTTCACTGAAACACCAGGCCTAACTATTCCAACACCCACCACTGCACTACAATTTATTCAATTATTCCTTACTCGAACGTTGATTGAAGTTTTGACCTATGAAATGAACCTGTATGCCTCACAAATATTGCAGCATGCTCCCGCGAACGTCATGAGTATGTGGGTGCCAGTCATGGTAAAGGAAATGGCAAGATATCTGGGTCTGTGCTTGTTGATGGGCGTTTCCAAGCTCCCAACCAAAAGAATGTACTGGCAAACAAACAGGCACGTTTCTTCAATACTTTTATGACATCGAAACGGTTTCAACATATTGAACAGTTTTTCCATACGTATAATAACAATGCCATTCCCCAGAACAATAAAGACAGGTTGGTAAAAGTTCGAACAGTGGTGGAATATCTTACAAAGAAATTTGCAGAAATTTACATTCCAAATAAACAATTGAGTCTGGATGAAGGCACGATGGCATGGTATGGTTGACTATCTTTCAAGGTCTATAATTCCAACCTGAAAAATATGGAGTCAAACTGTACATGCTTGCTGAATCAACATCTGGTTACATATATGACTTTCAAGTATATTGTGGGATTGGGAAAACCACAATCAAGACAGTCATGGGCTTGAATGAGCCCCCCTTAATGTACAAGGGTTATCATCTTTACATGGATAACCACTATAACTCAATCAACCTGACAGAGAAGTTACGTGAACATGGGGTTTACACATGTGAAACCCTCAAATTGTAATGTGGCGAACCAAAGGAACTGCAACTGAAGGCAAAGGGTAAACTTGCATTGGATACCACGATGTTCCGCCTCAAAGGTGACTCATTTATAATACTCTGGAAAGAGAAGCGAGTGGTCTCACTCATTACAAGCTTGAACAATGTAGACACCCAGCAAGTTCAACAAAGGAAAAGAGTTCGTTAACATGATGGATCATCTTCTGTAGAACAAGTAACGGTGAACAAACCTATAGCAATTTGTGACTATAATCACTACGTGAAAGATGTTGATCACCATGGAAGAAAATGCAGAATAGAACCAGTGAAGAGCAGAGTTGCCATAGGCACAATCAGAGAACACTGTATGAACATCAGAGGTCCACGGTTGTTCAACGTCCTACCAGAGAGCATCAGAAATATTACAGGAACAACCGTGGACATCTTCAAGAGGAAACTAGATTGTTTCCTTGAAGGAGTGTCGGACCAACCGGGCTGTGGTGGGTATGTGGGCCTGCGAGCCGCTCCAAGCAACAGCCTGGTGGACCAAACTCTCACAAGTCAAGTCTGGCCTCGGGCCGGGCTTGGGGAGTAGAAGAACTCCCAGAACCCCATCAACCAGGTAACTTTGACCAAATGATCAAATATTGTTAGTGTTATAGACAGCCTCCTGGTGCTTTGGAGCTCATTAACCGTTTAATAATTGTAAACAAAGCTGCCAAAGATTGAGAAAAGATGTACAAGTTCATAAGTGCTTGCGTACCTGCTTTGTGAATCTGGCCCCAGGCTGTGACTCAAACGTTAGACTGCGAGCAGACATCGTTCAGCCTGGTTGACCAGACCACCAACCAGGAGACCTTGTAAGACCCCGGCTGCAAGGAGGACGATTCTAGGAATCATTGACAGGTATACGACAAGTACAGTAGGTCCAGTTAGGCACCTTCTCACCTTCATATATTTGTCCACGTTTGGAGAGCTTCACTATGTATGGGGCTATAACACAGGTTGATTCTATGCCTACTGCATTAGGGCACCCATCTCTAAACTTGGACCTGATATATTAATTCCCATTTAAAAAATACTCTCAAAGCATTCAATGCCATTATTCCTGCTATTACACAGTCAATTACAGCACAATTAAAAGCTGCTTATTGAATATATTTTGTTTACTGCTGTTTAAGCTTTACTGAATGCTTAAACAACATCTTAAAACAAATACTCACTCAAACACGAACGCTTGACATCCATCTTAACATCTTGGGCATGGTACACCAGCATTCCTCCTCGCTGAACAAGTTCCACCTCTAAATTTGTCCGTAAAATAGATGATACGAACATGAAGAGGGACGGAGTTGAAGGATTGGATGAAACATTTCGATACTTGGCATAAGTAGCCACTGTCATATCCTCCATCATTCTAGCCATTGCGTTGGTTAGGGAACTGCTGAATTTCTGTAGGAGCAAGAGCAGTGAAAATATATTTAATAGTTTAAGTTCACTACAGTACAATATATGATTTTATGGCTTCTAACTTCAGCCAATCCCCATGATATAAAGCCCATATTCATAATTTACATGACATACACACACACACACCATGTTAAACAAGCTACGAGGATGAGGGAAGGGGACGTTCCCCCGTGCTAGATTTGATATTTGCCAGGAAGGAGGAAGAAATATTTGACATTCAGTACCTTCCTCCCTAGGGTAAAAGTGACCATGTCTTTTTGGGAATAAAGTATGCAATGCGTTTTAATCTGGAAGAAAATCTGAAGGTTGATGCAATTGAAAAACCTGACTTTAGGAGAGGACATTATGGCAACCTTAGAAATTTTTTTAGTGAGTATAATTGAACAGACTTGTTGCTAGGCAAGGAAGTGAATGAGATGTATGTCAAGTTTTGTGAAATATATGATAAAGGCACAAAAAAATTTATACCAAAACAGATGCAGAACTAGGAAACAGGATTGGTTCAACAGAAATTGCGAGAGGGCCAGAGACCAAAAGACACAAAAATGGAATCAATACAGGAAGAGGCCAAACCCCCAAACATACCAGCGATACAAAGATGCGAGAAACAACTACACGGCAGTGAGGAGAGAGGCAGAAAGAAATTTTGAAAAAGGGATTGCAGACAAATGTAAAACAGAACCAGGTCTATTCTATAAATTCATAAACAACAAATTGCAGGTAAAGGATAATATTCAGAGGTTGAAAATGGGAAATAGATTCACGGAAAATGAAATGTGTGAAACATTAAACGAAAAGTTCCAAAGTGTGTTTGTACAAAATGAAATCTTCAGGGAACCAGATACAATAAGAATTCCAGAGAACAACAGAGCATATAGAGGTGTCTAGAGACGAAGTGGAAAAAATGCTCAAGGAGCTAAATAAGAACAAAGCAGTTGGTCCAGATGGAGTTTCACCATGGGTTCTGAGATGTTCTGAGTTCATTTGATGCATCACATTAGTGTGATCTCTGTGTGATGATGTAAGGGCAAAGAGGGAGAATGGCCTATTGACATAGCCTGGGTTCAGGGGGGGGGGGGGTTGTGTAAAAGCCTGGTCTGTGCCTCAGAGAGGCTACGGGATCCAGTAAGTTCAGTAGAACTTCGGTTTCAACCCTTTTAACCATCGTAGCTCAGTCGATTAAGGCAGTGTCTGGGATGCTCCCAGACGCAGGTTCGAATCCTCGTCACGGCCCTTGTGGATTTGTTCATTTGATGCATCACGTTAGTGTGATCTCTGTGTGTGAAGAGGTCATAGATTTAAACTAGCTAAACACAGATGCTGAAGAAATATAAGAAAATTCACTTTCGCAAACAGAGTGGTAGACGGTTGGAATAAGTTAGGTGAGAAGGTGGTGGAGGCCAAGACCGTCAGTAGTTTCAAAGCATTATATGACAAAGAGTGCTGGGAAGACGGGACACCATGAGCGTAGCTCTCATCCTGTAACTACACTTAGGTAATTACACAAATTGCACACTCAGTCCCGGAACTGAGAGATGTGAGCTACGAGAAAAAGCTAAAGGAGCTGAACCTCACGTTCCTGGAAAACAGACGAGTAAGGGGAGACATGATAACTGCCTACAAAATTCTCAGGGTGAACAAAAACAAACTCTTTAGCACGGGCAGGACATGAACAAGGGGACACAGGTGGAAACTTAGTGCCCAAATGAGCCACAGACACATTAGAATTTCTTTTTTTCAATGTCAGAGAGAGTTAACAGATTAAATGCATTAAGTAGTGATGTGGTGGAGGCAGACTCCATGCAGTTTCAATTGTAGATTTGATAGAGCCCAGTAGGCTCAGGGACCTGTACATCAGTTGATTAACAGTTGAGAGGCAGGACCAAAGAGCCAGAGCTCAACCCCCGCAAGCTCAACTACGTAAGTACAATACAATGCCGAAAAGTAAATTAAATAACCACATGACAAACATTTATTCCCTTACAGATATTAGACTGACTGAAGTAACATCACTTACCGGAACAGTAAGATCATAAAGAAGCCTGTCAACCTCCTCAACTAAATCATTATCACAGGTGGAGGGACGCTTCACTAATGCTGATAAGTCCCCAATTTCAGGAGATATGGGCAGCACTGAATTCCCAAGTTGGCGACACAATGGACATGAATATTCACCCCTGGAGAAGGATTAATCAGATTTTTAATATTCAGTTCATAAACACACATTTCAGCACTAAAATTTACAAACAGTACCTATCAATATACAGCATGTGCTGTAAATACTAATATATTTTTAAATAGCCCATATTATTTCTAGTAGTATGTATATATAGTATTGTAGATATGCTATATTGAATTAATGCAAGCAATAAACCTGTTTATGTATCTTATGTATACATAAAAGTAATATCAGTGTAATTACTTTTATCACGAGTAATATCGGTGAATATAGGCGAGTAATATCAGTGACAAATGCTCTGGTCTTGTTAGGTGACAACACACGCATTCCTCCAACCTTAATACTCTACCACCCCTCGGTGCACTTCCCTAGCCCTAGCCCTCAATATTGGGTCAAGTTCCTCAAATACACACACTACAACTTGCATGAGACCCGGGGTAACCAAAGAGCAGATATCCTTGCAGATACAAAGACCAACTTTAAAATGGTGGTTTCTCACAAATTAATTCTTAATTTGTGAGAGACTGAAGTATTCTGTAATGTTTGAGCAGCTCTCTAGTCATGATAGATAATATATTGATTTTCCGAGCTCTACCACCACTCTTTCCTTACACTAAATGCACAGCAATTTTCATGGTAATTGACCAGCATCAAAATATTTGTATTTTAGCAATTTTAAAAGCACCATAATATTGATGTTTCCTCAAGACTAAATTGCATCAGCCTTGATAGATTAACTGGGTTGCCTAAGTTCATGTGTTTTTATTTAGCAAAAAATTTATGCATGCAGCTCCATACCACATCCATGATGTCAGAGCTGGACACACTGCCTCATCCAGAGAAAATCGATATATATACATTTTTATCAGTTTTCACCCGTCGAGATGCTATGTCCATTAAGTCGAAGCAGGTGAGGTTCTGTTCTGTTTCTCAGCCTGTCCTCCAGATCCCTGCCCAATCCTCCTTCACTGTCCTCATCATACAGTGGAGGTTGGTCATTGGTGTTCCTGTTGCACTACCAGGCTCTCTCTAATTCTTTGTGAATTCTTGTGTCATTCCTGTTTGGTATTCAGAGTGGTAGTTCAGCCTATCTATGGTGCTTCTTATAGCAGCTTTGTCACTACTTCTTATCTTATTTTTCTATTTTCTTCCTTTATGAACTTTGTTCAGCATTTTTAACATCTTTCCTGTGAATTGTAGATTCAGGACATAAACCTGATCACATTAAAGTTTTAATTTTATTTTGTTTTTCTGTCCAGTTGTAGTTTTGTGATGTACTTTGAGTCTTGTTCAAAGTAAGGCTCTCCCAGTTTGTATGCGGTATAGTCAAATTTAGTGAGCCATGGTATTACCTGTGCTCACCATGTTTTAATGAGGTGAAGTTGAGGTGGGCTGCCAAATACCACCTTGGAAGACTTCTCAAGGTCATTCTACATTGAATGGAGAATTCTCCAGTGTCTACCTTGCAATAGTATTACTTGCCCAAGATGTTTATATTCCCATTGCAGCTAGGGTGAAATACCAACCTGCACTGCTGGTGCAGAACCTTCTCCAGGGGAACAGCAAAACCTTGATTATGGGGGCAACAAAGTACCATGCTCAAAGAGGAGCATTTCATCTACATTCAAGTGCAATATTTTTTTAAATTCTTAAGAGGGGGCCTGAACTGGCCGAGGGGGGGCCTGAACTGGCCGGGGGGGGCCTGAACTGGCCGAGGGGGGGGGGGGCCTGAACTGGCCGAGGGGGGGGGGGCCTGAACTGGCCGAGGGGGGGGGGCCTGAACTGGCCGAGGGGGGGGGGCCTGAACTGGCCGAGGGGGGAGGGGGGGGGGGCCTGAACTGGCCGAGGGGGGGCCTGAACTGGCCGAGGGGGGGCCTGAACTGGCCGGGGGGGCCTTAATACAGTATCTGTTATGAACATATAAAATTCTTTAAGTATCTACTGTATTGTAAAATCTACAAAAAAATACATGGAAGATTAAAAAATTATCAATGTGAAATGAGAATTCAATCCAGCTTACAGCAGTTTATATTAAAAAACATTACAATAAGGTTGTCGATCCTTGGGATATTAATCTATGATTGGCACCTATATGTCAACTTATTCTAGAATACATATTAAATTATTTATATCAATTGTATAACTAATACTCTACTTTTTACTCCAGTACAACTTACTTATCAACATTGAGAGGGTTGTTAGGGCGGTGCTGTGAGCGTAGTGCAAGAAGATACGACTGATGACAGTCCAGATGCAGGTGATGGCCACATGTCTGTACATGGACTCCACCTTCCCACCCAATATTCATAGACACCAACCACGAGTTCTGAAATTAAGGATTAGGTTCATAAAAAATAAAGACTAACCCCCTTTTTATATTATTTTTCCCCCTAGTGATTAGGTTTTTACCAGCCTCAAATTTCATATAACCTAGCAAAAATTTATTTATTCCAACGTATCTTATCTTTTTCTTTCTTTTATTTGCTCCTGACACATTCCAAAACAGTTAATAATTCACACATTAAAATAAAAAATTTCTACCATATAAAGTTATTCGACATATTTACTTACATAATCAAAGTGTCTATTGAGTGTGTCTGCTCTTTCTTCCATGTACTGACCAAGGGTAAATCTTCGCTGTTTTAATCTCATTCTTTCAGAATCTGACGTAGGAACACTCAAGGGTTTTTGTGACGATGTTCGGTGACCAAGCACACTAGTTGCCTGAAAATATTTGGTAAAAATTTGTCAATAAAACTAAATTAGAATGATATTCTGATATGGTAAAAGTTTATCTAAAAGAATTCTTTTCTTTTGCCTGTTATATGACTGTCTTAAGATGTACACTTATTCATATAATGAGCCTAAAAACACAGGATCAATTATGATAAAGGCAAGGCTGAATTGAGTCCAACCTTTTACAAAGGATATTGATATCCAACTGTTAAAACAGTACAATTCAGCATAAAAATCCTCCACTTAATGGCTTAAATAGCCCAGTCCAAATCGGATGTTAATGTCAACTGTGTTACCCCCACACTTTCGGGTCACAGAATCAGTTATTTTAATCATTCCCAGTTTACTGGGACACACTAGAGTGGTGACAATTTACGAGATTGTATATAATTTTAGTGCATCAGTAGCCAAGAAAGTTTGTTACCAAACTGCCAGAAACAGGATTTTCATTACATTCAGTACTGGTGTTGTGGAGGAGCCAAAAGGTGGCTTCCTGTAGCCAACTAACAACAGAAGAGAGAAAAATGACTCGCCGGAAGAGGAGAGCAAAGATCAAACTACCAAGGGGAAGAAACCAAAAGGGAAACCCTACCCAGGATGTCACAAGCACAAAGGGGGGACTAGAAACACTGATCACCTAACAAGATGCCAGGACCCTCAGGAGACTTCCAAAACTCTGAGCCCAGATATCACCCAAGACAAATTAGAAATTACAGCAGCTAAGGCTGCAAACTTCTGAACAGCCTGGGCCCGAAGACAGAACATATGCTGACTAGATGGTGGTGATATTCGTCTTTCAGAGTCAAAGGTGACCATGTCTTTAATATCAGGTCGAAGATCAGGAGGGTGTGTGTCAGAAGATGGAAGTTCCTCTGGGCCTCTGCAGTCTGTCCATTCTCTGCTGCTACAGGCCCCTGTGATGACTTTGCTTCGACAAGTTGGTTGGTCCTGAGCAAGCGACTCCCAAGTGTTGGGATTGATGTCCTGGTCTTTGAGGGTCACTTTGAGGCAGTCATTGAATCATTTCTTCTGCCCCCAACTGAACATGTGCCCTGACATAATCCTCCACACAGCACCTGTTTTGATTATTGGCTGTCAGGCATTATGAAAACATGGCCTGCCCATCTGGCCGGAGTTTTCAGTTGAAAGGTGTTGATACTGGAAATTCCAGCCTTTTGCAGGACTTCTGTGTCCAGGATTTTGTCCTACCACCTGATGTGGAGGATTTTGTCCTAAGACCGGATGTGGAGAAGTTTGCAGACACAGCTCAAGTGAAAGTGATTTCCCATAATGATAAAAATGGCTTATGGAACTGAAAAACAAGAGTTGTAAGGAGAGGCTAGAGACATTAAATATGCCAAAGTTAGATGACAAAGAGAGAGAATTGATGTGATCACCACTTATAAATAATATCGGGAAGCAACCAAATTGACAAAATGGACTTCCTGAAACTTGCAACCTCAAGAATAAAAGATCACACAGATTAGAGCTAAGGAAACAATGGTGTCGCCAAAATATTAGAAAGTTTTCTTTTGCAAACAGTGGTAGACGGATGGAACAAGTGGGTGAGGAAGGCTAAAACCATAAGTACTGTAGTTTCAAAGCGTTATACGACTGTGTTGGAAAGACAGAACACCACAAGCGTAGCTTTCATTCTGTCCCTACACTAAGGTAATTACAGGGAGCCACTGTTCAATTCCTACGAAGGAGAAAAAAAAAATGTGACCTGGGAATAGATCTAAACACATACCTATACAGCACAAAAAAAATCAATTATGGTGTAAAAACCATAAAGTCTGCCAATTGGGCATACTTAATTACAATCAGTACAAAAAACTATTACAGTATAGTATATCTAATACAATAAGATACATATTAAGTAAATGATCTCCACAGAAAAGTTATCCAATGATATAAAGCTCTGGAGTGTTAAATTACATAAAATGTTCATTATCATACCATAAAGTAAGATTTCAACATGCACCTCCTCTTCTCTACTAAAGTTCTCTGGCTAAACATATGTGATGCACCACTATATAATAAACTGAATTACATTAGGACCCCTTTATTCTACAACATGCCAGTCAATTATGCCCCTCCTAAATATACAGACATTAATTGCTTCTGCCACTTTCATGTAAACTAAGTGTTGACTATCAAACTTTACATTCTAGAATAGAATAATGAAAAGTATCTTACTTGTAGCAACACTACTAGCCCCACGGGCCTCTCGGGAGTAGATGGAATAGATTGATTACATATAACGCAGTCATATTCCTTATGCCTTTCTGGCTGTTCCTCTTCAACTTCCATTGCATCATTTCCACTAGCTTCAGATTCTGCCACCTCAGCCTTGTTTTGTTCCATAAACTGACGCTGACGGTTTGCAAATTCGGCCATAACTCTCTTTTGTCTTTCTTTGGCACGTTTTCTCTTCTCTTCTCTTGCTCGAGCTTCTTCCTCAGAAGACGCAGAGGAGTCTTCTTCTCGTTTACAGTAAAGACATGATATAGTGTCCAATATACCTTGTCTAGTAGAGGGATCATTTCGACCAATTTTATTGAGCAACTTTGCAATAAAGAAAGGCCCATCTCCTATTCTGGAATCGAATGTATCACTGAAGTTTGGACGGTAAGAGTTAGGCTTTCCCGTTAACTTTGAATGAAGTTTAATCAGGAGAGAGATAATGGATTCATCAACTGCTACATATTCATCTCCAGAGTCGAGTTGAGGTAACTGCAAGAGAAACATCAGCCTTATTATGTGAGGGTACTATGTCAAGTTATATTCACACTAACCAATATCATAACTGAAATTATGTTCTAAAACTATCACTATACTGGAGGACCTGACTATGCCAAAAAATAACTCAAATTTAATAAATTGAATGGAATGGAAAGGAATGGAATGGAGAGAAATGTAGATGTCTGGGAAAAAGTAAATTAAAATGCACAGCAAACTAGAGAATTTTGTTGAGAAGTAACTTATTAAACGTGTACACATGAATAACAGATGTTTTAGTGTGCGTGATTTCACGAGTTATTAGACTAACTGCTTTATGGGCCACACTATTGTTGCTTGTAGCCCACAAATTTGTATAGTCATTTTGAAAAAACACTGCCTGCAAGAACTAGTAGAGTTACATCACGAGACTTTGCTACACAAATATATATTTTACATGCCAGTCTAACGTTAAAAGATTGGAATCTTGTGTTTACACTACTACTACTACTACTCACTGTACCTTTCCTGCACCCCTACCATCTTTCTCACTCCTTGAAACCCTCATGAAGTATGTGTTTACTTCATGAGATTCTCCTGGTGAAAAATTAGAATCTGTTTTTTTTTTTTTTTTTTTTTTTGGGGGGGGGGGGGACATTATTATATAGATTATGACGCTTCTCATCTACACAGAGGTTTTCTGAGCCAAAGTGCTACTCGCCCCTTTACCCAAATAAATCTGTACAAATTCTATCGATTTAATTTAATGGCCACAAAAGAAAATGTCAACAAAATGAATGTTTTATTCAATGAATAATTATATTTTAAAGCACAATTATAGCAGGAGTGGCTCTACACAGTGGTTGTATGGTGCTGGTATCTCAAGAAGCACTTCAATAAACTAGAAAAGTTCCAAAGACATGATGCACAATGGCTTTTGGAACTGAAAAACAGAAGCTACAAGAAGAGGTTCAAGGTGATAAATGTGCCAAAGCTAAAGGATACAAAAAAAAAAAAAAAAGTTGTGATCCAAAATACTGTAGTAACAGGAATCCACAAAATTAACAGAGGAATTCTTGAAGCCTGCATCTTCAAGAACAGCTTGAAGATGCAGGTCATAAGCTTCAGCCTAAGGAAACAAAGGTGCCAAAAAAATATTTGAAATTTCTTTCTTGCAAACAGTGATAGGCAGTTGGAACACATTAAGTGAAATGACAGTGGATGCCAAAGCCGTCAGTAGTTTCAAAGTTTCATATGACAAGAGTACCAGGAAGATGGGACACCATGAGCATAGCTCTCATCCAGCAACTACATGGGGCATAACACTATTTTTAATGGTAATTGGCTTCTCTTTTTAAGGTTTAGCACACAAATATGGTCATTTTCAAAAACCAAGCTTCACTGAAGCAGCACATGCATAAAAAGTGAAGCTGAAGACCTTTTCCATGTATAGATGCTACCGACGCAAGACATTCCCTGCCGATGAACAAGCCATTCTCTGGGATCAAATGCCAAATAACCCAGCCGAGGTAGTAAATCACAGTACTTACCAACTTAATTACCAGTAGCCACAGACAACATGAGAGTCTTCACAGTAATATTCTCAACTGTAAGATATACATGGAACTGAATGGAGGACAAGAAGTCTAGCTCAACATCGAGAGATCAGAGAAGATCCAAAGGAGGATAGGCAGGGTGAAAATGGAAGAATGTTGAAAAAATTTTCCTTTCAAAGAACACAAAGTAACTTTCACAACTGCAATAAAAATGACAGGTTGAATATCAAGAACCTTTCAAACAAGAGATAACATATGAATGATACTATTTAAGACACTAGTGCTCTTTAGGGTGGAATAATGTTGCATGCTAACAGTCTCATTGAAAGTTGGAAAAATTGCTGATCTGGATAATATGCAAAGGTATTTTACTGCCCGAATCCACTCAATAAATCATCAAAATTATTGGAACAACTTAAATTTTGTATACCTGTATTCTGTATAGTAAAGGCAAGAGATAGATACGTAATAATTTACACTTGGAAAATATTAGAGGGATTGGTCCCAAATCTGCACATGGAAATAACTCTGCATGAAACCAGGAGGCATGGCAGGATGCACAAAATAGCATCATTGAAAAGCAGAAAAGCAACCGGTATGCTGAGAGAGAACCATCAACATCAAGGGCACAGGACTTTTCAACACAGGACTACACACAAGCATAACTGGCAGACCTTTGTGGTATTCAAGAGAGAACTTGATCAACACATCTAAGGAATACCTGATCAACCAGGCTGTGAGCAGATGCATCCAACATCCTGGAGGCCAAGTCAGAGATCAGGTCATAGGGATGTTGATTCCTGGAACCAACAACAGGTAGAACAGGCAGGTAGGTATACCTGCATACCTGGAGAGTCTCGGGAGTTCTTCTACTCCCCGAGCCCAGTCTGAGGCCAGGATTGACTTGCGATAACTTGGCCCAACAGGCTGTTGCTTGGAGCGGCCTGCAGGCCCACGTATTCACAAGAGCCTAGTTGGTCTGGTACTTCTTGCAAGAACTTGTCCAAGGCAGGATAAGTATGCCCAACTTATTGGGCAGGAGTATGCCCAACTCAGCTTCATAATGGAAAAACACTGAACTAGGTAAGAGAGTACCTGACATAAAAAACAAAGGGCCATAGCCAGAGAGGATACATCAGGTTGGAGAGGAGAGGAAAATTAAATCTTCCAGGGCTATGTCCTAGAACCGTTGGTCTTTCTAAATTGTTAACACCTTACCAGAGGAAGTGAACTCGTACATGTCAATGTTTGCAGATGATGTTCAAAGGTAATAAGAGCAAGAACTGAAGAGGACTGTACAGTGCAGCAGGAAAACCATGACAAGCTTAAGGAGCATGCAGACACATTGCTATTGGAAATCAATCCCAACAAGTTACAGAAAATCCTCTAATGCATTGTTTACTTTAGTACAGCTGCTATGATATTTTCGTGATTTTCTTGACGCAACTTTACATTTTCTTTAATTTCAAATAAACAGCTAGAGAATTTATCATATAATTCCACATGCCACATTACCTACATTACACCTTCAACAAAATGAGCCTTCAGTTATTGATGTTAAATCTACAAGAGGAACTTACAGAGGAAAAATGTGAGAGTTCAGGTGTTGGAGGAGATGCTTGGAATGCTGGCGGTGAAGAGCCATCACTTGCCGGAAGAAGAGCTTTAGCGGGTCCAGCTGGACGCCGAGAACGCTGATGGAAATGATGCTGAAGCATAAAACAGCGTCCATGGTGACCTCTGCTACTACAGCTGGGGCCATTAGTGTTACTGCTGCTGCCACCACCAGCCATTCTTCCCACCTCATTCCCAGCAAGCAAGGAAGGGTATTGGATTGGAGCAGGTAAAGAGGCCTGTGCTGATGCACCTTCTGCAAGCACAACATATAATATTCATAAAGTTTACTTGTAAATACAGTAATGTACATATAAATATCAACTATTACACACACAAGTTGAGACATTTGTTATTTAAAGAAGGTTTATCAGTACCTGGAATGAGAGGAATTCTACCAATATACCACACACTTTCCCAAGTACAATACTACCAATATCCACTAAAATGTCTAAACCTTCATTGTGTGTCTTCTGGGTTATCATATCAATAAGTTAATCATTTAGTAATGTGATACATTAAACAATATCACATGTTAGTAAATATTTGTCTCCACCTATCATGATCTTTTAGTATAAAGTAAAATCCATACAAAAATTAAATGAAACCAGTGCTCACTCCACACCACCTAACAACAAATGCCTGGACTTTTTTACTTATATCTATACAGGTAAACAGGTACTGTATATCTATATTTACTTACATAACTTGTATATCTATAAGTTACTATATATCTGTGTGTGTCAGTCTGTCCAAAGTTGGAGGCCAGATGCTTAGGGCAAGCCTCGCCAAACTTTTCAAGGTGACATGGGAGAGGTATGGGAGTGTCATAGATGGTCAGGTCCAGTCCCAATGCTCCCACTAAGAAATATTGACCATTTTCACATGAAGGTTGAAATTGGAAATCAGTTTTCCGATAGTGTGTTTTAGCATATTGTAATACATTTTCGACAAGAGAGAGGATAGGGAGAGAGGAAAGGAGGGAGGGAGGGGGGGGGGGATGGAGGGAGAAAGGAAAGCAGGGACTGGGGAAGGAAAGCAGGGAGGAGGAAGGAAAGCAGGGAGGGGAAGGGAAGGGAGGGGGGGAGGGGAGGGGAGGGGAGGGGAGGGGAGGGGAGGGGAGGGGAGGGGAGGAAAGGAGGTTGGGAAGAAAAGAAGGGAGGGAAGGAAAGGAGGGAGGGAGGAGGGGCAGAAAGACGGGAGAGAGGTGGGGGGAAGGAAAGGAGGGAGAGGGATGGAGAGGGGGAGTGGAAAAGTGGGAGAAAAGGAAAGGAGAGAGATGAGAGGGAGAGGAATAGAGGGGGAAGAGATGAGAGGGAGAGGAATAGAGGGGGAAGAGATGAGAGGGAGAGGAATAGAGGGGGAAGAGATGAGAGGGAGAGAAATAGAGGGGGAAGAGATGAGAGGGAGAGGAATAGAGGGGGAAGAGATGAGAGGGAGAGGAATAGAGGGGGAAGAGATGAGAGGGAGAGGAATAGAGGGGGAAGAGATGAGAGGGAGAGGAATAGAGGGGGAAGAGATGAGAGGGAGAGGAAGAGAGGGGGAAGAGATGAGAGGGAGAGGAAGAGAGGGGGAAGAGATGAGAGGGGAGGGGAAAGAGACCTGATCAGAGCTGGGTATCCCATCTAGTAATCTATACAATAATGTCAGCTCTTTCTACATTTCTCTTTAACCAAATTTAATGTTATATTATTTTATATGATGCAAACACCTAGATAATCTGCAGATTAATTTTAAAACAAAACAGTCGCATATCATTAATGATAAAATTAATTAGAAATGTGAAATCAAACTAAAAGTAAGGCCTTGAAGTCAATACAAAAAGCTTCTTTCTGAATACAATCATTTTGTTGCTCAGGCAGAATGACATTCTGGCACCAGTGCCATGCAAAACTTTCCAACCTGTTCCCACTGAGTATTATGGGTGCTACCGAGTTACTGGAAAAAAAACTGAAACCATCCCAGAAACACACTGTCTACTCAACTCCTCTATTGGCATCGCAAGTAATTCACAACAGAGGACTTTTGCTTACTTCTCGTTTGCTTGAGTGACTACTTACTTACTTACGCCAGCGCACAGAGTAAGCAGAGCACAAAGGCGCTCTGCCCAACTCAATTCCCAGTACAGGATCACTTCAAATAATGCCTGATACAACATATAAATCTGAACACATAGGAGGAAAGACATATATACATATGTGTAATATTCAATATACATAACACAAATTTGGGGGGGAATAATATGGTAGCAATAATTTTGTCTTATTTACCTTTAGTGACTTTAATAGTCCTAGTTACTTGTTTTTTGTTGATTAAAGAGGACTAATTAGTAAAGGACAGAGTGGTAGAAGGTGATGCACAGGCAGAGACTGCCAAGTTGCATCTTCAGTATTAGTGGGTATTTAAACCACAACAAGGATTCACTTGAAGTATAAGCCCTCTATACAGAAATCACGGTTTTAAGGATATACCCATCACAGTCGGCTAAAGGTACTTATCTTGAGGTTATCTTGAGATGATTTCGGGGCTTTAGTGTCCCCGCGGCCTGGTCCTCGACCAGGCCTCCACCCCCAGGAAGCAGCCCATGATAGCTGACTAACACCCAGGTACCTATTTACTGCTAGGTAACAGGGGCATAGGGTGAAAGAAACTCTGCCCATTGTTTCTCGCTGGCGCCTGGGATCAAACCCAGGACCACAGGATCACAAGTCCAGCGTGCTGTCCGCTCGGCCAACCGGCTCCCCTAGAGACCGGACTGACTGGTTGCTAGAGACAACTTTTCTTTAGAGAGCCCCTACCTATATGGCCATGAGAACCAAAGCATGCAATATCTCAGCCAAGTGCATATGCTCCCAGTGGTCATCTGCAATTAGAGCTCCAGACAGCTCAGGTAGCTGCACACGGAGGTGCCACTTGCCCACATTCTTGGCGAGTACCAGAGCAAACAGGCAGTCTCCAAGCAGAGCATAAGTAGTACCACCCATGAAGACCTGAAAGATGCAACCCACCATCCGCCAATCAAGCATGTGGGTCAGACTGAACCCCTGTCAACCCCCGCCACCCCCCCCCCCAAGAAAAGAGAGGGTTGTTAGCCAGCCAGAATGAATCTGGAATCTCACAAAGGTGCTAGTAAGTCAAGACAAACCTAGACAAAAGAGGCCAGGTCCATCAACAAAACTGAGGTCCAAATTCCACAGGAGGTACTGAAACAGGTCCACGCGAGCCACAGAAAGTGACGGGTGGGAAGACAAACCTTCAGAAATATGACAACTCCTAGGCCGTGATCGAGACCTAGAATCGAACACAAGGGGGAGTAACCGAGCGATCATAATCATACATAGAAGGGGAAGATGTGAAAATTTCTCCCCTTGAAGCAAAAGATCCTCCAAAGAGGAAACCATTTCCTCGAGTTCATGACGGTTGAAAAGGCACACATGGACACCCACTTGGGCTCTCACCAGAAGCAGAGCATACCACAACCACAGGGAAAGGAAGAGGACATTAAGACTTAGTTCAGGTGGAGTTCACAAACACCTCCAATTTTGGGTCCCTTAACACCATAGGTGCCACCTTCAAGGCATCCAAATAATCACAATGCAGCGAACACCTAAACTTCCAAACTTGAAGCTGAACCAGTAAGTGCAAATCTCACAGGACTCAGGTTTGTGGGTATTACCAGCCCAGCAGGCAGCACAGAAGAGACAGAAAGAATGAATCGCCCAATAGCAAGGACAATGAACACTCTTCTAGCTTACATATATCGAGCACAGGCTCAATGGACCGATTCATAAAGAACAATGCTGACACCTGCAGGAAAGTTATCAGTCTGAAGGCAGCTAGCCAAATGGGGCACACAGGCAATGAGGCAACTCATTGAAGGAGAAGACCCCAATTGCAGCCAACAACGCTACGCTATGAATGGGAATCACAGCATGCTACATGAAGAACAGCACAGTGCAACCCCCAAACAACCAACAGAACACCAACATCCAAGAGCCTAAGAACAGTAATGAAATGCTCATTAACAGCCCAAAGCGAGGCTCTCCACCCCAGTGGCCTGATCACTCACTAGCAAATTACAGAGCACACCAGAGAAGCAACTCTGTCAGTGCAAAGGCGCACCCAAGGAAGAAAACCCTGAGAACATGCAGTTTGAAACAACAGCAGCCAAGCTCACACAAGCCCAACACACAAGAAAACATGCACAGGGAGGTAACACTAATATCAAAGAACAATACACAAGCAAATGGCCCCAGCAGGAAGAATGGAGTCAAGGATGGCTGGCATTTAGCTTGACTATCAAAAGGGCTCGCCACGAATGACACTACACTACAGGTAGTATCCCCATCATCATATCAGCAACAGAACAGACCAGAGAAGATGGCTGTAGGTTGAGGCCAGGATGCCTGGTGACAGCTGTCAGTGCCAACATGTTTAACTAGTTTTGAGTGAATTAACCATTTCATTTGAACTGTTTGCAGAGTTGTTTGGCGGTGTCAAGGCTTCGTTTTCTGTGAACCCTCCAGTTGTCTGTAAAGCTTTGCTGACTTTCTGGATGCTTTTCCAGTGGTGTGGTGAACTGTTACTCTCTCCCCTCTCTGCACCTCTGTGAGGAGGGGGCCAGGTCTGGCTCTGCTTCCCACCAGGCCAAACAGAACTCCTTTTTCTTCTGTGACTAATGTGACCCTCTAGTTGGAACAACCTCAGCAAGATAGTTTCAGGGAGTCATCTTAGGGCTCTCCCAGAAAACTATAGAAAACAATATACTAGTTGGCAACCATTATATACTAAATAATCTAAATTAAATACTTAAAAGTTAACCGATTTCTTTCAAATAAAGCTCAAAATGTAACTAAAACTAAGCTTTAAAATGGTATCATAAAAGAAGTCTGAAAATTGATTTTGGCCCATTAACAAAAGTTTCATGAGAAGACTGAGTGTCAAGGAGAGCCAAGCAATATTTAAGGAAAGTGACTTCCTCCAACAAAGTTGACATATGAAGTGTAGCCATCAGTGATGGCTGCACTTCATATGCACTTCAAGTGCATATGAAGTGCAGTGCACTTCAGTGCACTGCAGTGCACTTTCACTGCACTTCAAGTGCAGTGAAAGTCTGGGATAGCGGCCAGTGGTCTAGCTAGCAGTTAGTAGAGCGATGTTTAGTATTCCTTCTGAAACCAAGTATTATTTGAAAGGAAATGTTGAGTTTAATTGAATGATTTTTCTGCCAGTCATTCTAGGATAGATTAAACAATCTCTTGAGACACCCTTAAGGGAGCTACCCAAGGTGCTAATAAATGTGACAAGCACATGGTATCCTTTTCAGAACACCTACTAAGCCTCAAACCAATAAAAATGTATAATTCTAAAACTAACCTGGAGAAGAGGCATGAATAAGAGGCACTAGCATGTTTGTTGGTGTAGACACTGGTGAGGTTGGTGTTAGAGTAGGAGGAGGCAAGGCCAGTGGAGACATATGATCTTGAGTGGGAGTTTCTGGAGTAGTAGGCAGGTCTCCGGCTGATGCTACAACAGCTGTGGCACCTTGGTGGTACAGTACCAACTCCGAGCCCGTGGGGAGAGGGAGAGGACGTGGCGCTGCGCGCAGGGCCAGTCGAGGCTCGCCTCCCTCAAGCTCGTCCATTTCCAGATCAGATCCATCTAACTCGCCTGAAAAAGTACAGCTTCCTCATTACCATACAAATAATTTTTTGTTGTATTGCTTTTCTTATTGCAATATTTTTCTGTTTATCTTCTTGAACTTTGTCTGTTTTTATCTATTTATATTTTGTCTATATCTTCCTGAACTACAGCTGCTCTTGTGAATACACAAACCTACCTATACACAAGCACACACACTTTCACATGCCTACAACAACAACAACAAAACTCAGTACTGTACAATAGAGGATATTACAGTATATCCATGTGTCCATAGTGTGTGGGAAAAATGTACAATAATTTTCGAGGAGATGTCTCAAGTTGATCTATTTGGCAGAATGCCTCAAATTGCTATTTATAATAAATAATACAAATAATGTTCTTACCATCAGAGCAGGAGCTGACTGATGGAGTAGGATTGAGGTGAATCCTTGATACAACAGAGTTGACGTTGGTAAAAATATCATCTGTCACAAACCACTTACAAAACTGACCATCAGGCTTGTCATCATCTGCTTCTATCACACCTTCATAAAACTGTGCAGCCATGATTTCACCCCCTATAATCAAAATGAAATAAACAAAAATTATTATTTCAGGTATATTGGTTGTCCTCAATCACTCACGTAGAAAATGCACTGTGCTCTTTGTGTTTGTCGAGGTTCATGCCTATACAACAATCACAAAGGTCTCTCTTATCACCAATATTCATATTTTATATTACTGGTATTTTCTTATGTTAACTTAGTTTACTCATCTTTATTGTTGCCCTTTCACTATTATGTTCCAAAATATAAAAGGTTAGATCAAGTGCCGCCTTTCATCATCACTCGCACTACTTCCACCTTACAGTAAACCAGCATGAATACATTCCACTGTTGTCACTCTTTACTGCCCAACTACCTCACCGCTAACAGGACACACATGAATCCATCAAGAGAGGCCTATGTCTGAATTTATTTTCATGTTTTTCTGTAAAACTGTCTTAGCTGTGTATTTTTCACAACCCATATGCTACCAGCATCTTGCACCTGTTCTTTATTTTGTGCTATGAACATCAAATCAATAATTTTACTTTCACAAATAATGAATTTAGGAAATAAAACTGTTGATACAGAGGTATATGCAAGGAAGTAAACATGAAATTCCAGAGTTATTTTACATTAGAAAAGGCACTTGAAAACCAGACTTCACCCACAAGAAGTACTTAACACCTGGCTGGATGAAACTGTGTGGGTGAGGACGACTTAATTTGGAGCCGGATTCACGAAGCAGTTGCACAAAAACTTATGAACCTGTACATCTTCTCAATCTTTGGCGACTTCCTTTACAATTATTAGACAGTTAATGAGCTCAAAAGCACCAGGAGGCTGTTTATAACAAGATAAACAGTTGATTGGGAAGTTTTCACGCTTGTAACTGTTTAATAAATGTAATCAAAGCCGTCAAAGATTGAGGAAAGATGTACTGTACATGTTCGTAAGTACTTGCGTAACTGCTTCGTGAATCTGGGCCCCTGATTCTTTAATCCTATTTTGCTACATTTTTTAACTATTTTTCCAGGCTAATGGCTCCCTGCCTCATGAAAGTAACAGGATATATGATAATGACAATCAGAACCTACTACTGTATACATTATCTTAGCAATATTAACCATATCACTGGAACTGGAATTTCTGCAATATAGTCCTACTCTCATGATACGGATAAGAACCTGAGAGAAATGTTTGAAAAAGCAATATACAAAAATAAGGTGAAAGATACTTGCAGAGGCCTCCAAGACTTCAATACTGACCTTGTGAACGGTGTTTTGCTTGAAATTCAACAGTAAGTTCCAACAAGTAAACAGTGAGAGCTAAAAGATGATCCGTGGTGGATACTTCGTTGAGAGCTTTATATAACAACATGAAGAGAACAGCATGAAAACTCCTGCAAGCAATTATCCTTTGAGGATCAGTGTATGGACTAGTAACAGCACTTGGTAAACGGAATGGTGGCCATAAATTTCCCGAGCTGCTGATATTCCCAGACTGCTTACAGCTGCAATGAAAATATGAACCTATTATTTGCAAAATAAAATATAAAAATCCATATACAATTACTAATACAAACTAATTTTAGTTTTTGTCATACTGTAGTTCACAAATGAAACAGTTGTGTGAATTAATGTATAAAGTATTTTCTAAGGTTTACTTATACTGTACATCATAAACATTTATTTACTTGTCCACAGAAATTTACCTATGGACTGCTCTCTGAAATTCCCACAACAACCTCTCAAAGGAAGATAAATCTTTAACTTCCTAGCAAACAAAACCTAGAGTGTTATAGTCAACAAAATAAAATTTGGATCATCCACAGAGAAAAACTTAGTCCCCCAAGGTATCGTGCTTGCTCCGTTTCTTTTCATCTTCATATCACACAAAAAAGGATACAAACTATAGTACTGTATCATCCTTTGCAAACGACGCTGGAACGTTCATGAGAGTGGACAGTATAGAGAACATTGCCACCAGCATCGAGTAAACTGACATTTGAACCTTGTAAAAAGGTGTGTTAATAAATCTTATGTGGTATAGTACAGGTACTTTAACCTAACTGGGAAGAATGCAATGTTTGTTGTGTGCAAGAAAAAAAATTCTGAACAAATTCTTTTTATCTTTAATATTGTTAATTAGCATCCAGGAAGCACAAAAGTTAAAGTAAAAAGTCTTTTTATCTTTTGTGGTTTAGCTGTTGTAGCTCTCAAGCTGCCTTTTTTAGGAAGAATTGAGGCAAGGTGCCGCACGGAAATAATTTGGTCCATTTATTTTCATGTTGTATTGATGTGTCAATAGTTATAAATATTGAAGTGATATTCATAACTAAATAAATATATTATATATCATGCAAGATAAGTGTATTATTAAAATTCTTTAGTTTTAATAGGCATAGTGTTACATTTCTGCTTTGTAAAGTACAATAAAGTATTCCAAGCTAATGGTGATCAAGACAGCTTTGAACTCCTCCACTGAAAGCCTCCAACTAAAATTGTATTTTAGTCCAATTTAATTCATTTCTTTGAAGAAATGGCCTTAATGTTATAGTCATTATTTTAAGTGGTAAAATAAATCTTACTGATGGCAGTAAATATATTAATTACTTTCACATGCAAGAACTTTTATCTTTTGCAAGAACTGCAAGAACGGATATCTTTTTAACTTCGAATAGGATCCACCCAATGTAATCTGAATTAGTGAGAACTCCTTGAGTAATGTGCAGTTTAAGTAAAATTTGTTAACATCAATATGAAAATGTAAGATGCCAAACTGATATAAACACATCATTAAATTAGCCATGTGGAAGAATGAATCAGAAAAAGCCAACAAAAAAATGTGGAAAAACTCACAATAGCTTAAATCTGTCCAGAGAAGCTTGAAAGTCTCGTCTCTGTACAGCCCGTAGAAGTATGTAAATAGGATCATAAAGATTTTCCCAGACCTCGTCACGTGGAATATACATCCCTTGCTGCATTGTTCCCGATGCTTCAAAGTTTGGGGCTCTATATGATGAAACCTGCAATGGGTCATAAAATAAATGTTTAAACTGATTTCTAGTAAATACAAACAAAAACCAGAACAATTCCAAAGACATAGCATCCACTGTCAGGGACAGGGAGCCAGTGTACCCTTCTTGAGCTTTCCCTAGACCAACTACTGTATAAAAAAATGAAGCTAAATTTACAAAATGCATGTTCAGACCCTATTATGTCAAAGCCCATTCATGGATTAGTCCAGATACGAAACAATTTATTAATTCATATACAGTGCAACCTCGATTCAACAAACGATATGGAACCAATCTCAATTCATTGCAGTGAGGGGATTTGTTGTAACCAGAGATGCCTCCAGGAGGATGATATCTGTGAATGAAAACCAAGAAATCTCAAAATAAACCAAGGAATTTTTTAAAAATATGCACAATGGTTTTCCCAAGGTCCCAATTGATTTCACTTAGTAAATCTTTAATTTTAACCTATGAACTGATGGGCAACTTTTCCACCAGTCTGAACTCTGTTTCAACATCCTAGGCAAATCTGAACATTACCTACTTTAGCAAATGAGAGTTTGTAGAATCAGGATAGTAAATCTGGCCTGGAAAGTGTTCGTTCCAACCCGAGATTTGCTGAATTGAGGTTCCACTGTTAAATTTAAGAAAATACTCTTAAGAAGGAAGAAAAGTAAATAGTTTCTTTATTATAATGGACTTGTACTGAAGAGAGCATTTCTTACACACCTTACTTAATACGGCCTCAAAATCTCTGCTCTGAGCTGCACTGCCACACTTCTCTGGCATAAATTCCATCAGCTGAGAATGTGTTTTATCTCCCATACACAGCAGAGTAACCATCTCCAACTGAGCAAGTTCACTTTCACTTAAGCCTGCCACATACAGTAATATAAATAAGAAAATTGAATAGGTACACAGTATACTAAACAGTTAAGAAAATTGATCAAGATATTATAATAGACATTAAAACAAATGACCAATTTGTTTGGTCATTTAAATTTACTATTTAAATATTTAACATTTAAATATTTAGCAGATTTAAGAAAATTTTGAATATACCAATATGCACAAAATAGACAATTCAGCTCAGATATGGCTACAGTTGTTTTAAACTTAATTTAAACTTTGCATTTTAGATTAACATACAAGAGGCAAACATGCAAGTTTGTCTTAATAAAAAAAAAATCATTTACTTTTAATCACAAAACTCCAGCTAAAAATACACAGTACACTTAATGTATTTTCACACCAAATGTATACATCTCAACCAAAGGTTCAAATGTAAACATTACTCCATGTATGCTTACAAAAACAAATCTACACCAAATTATTTGAAGAAGGTTCCTGGGATCAAATATTAAACTCTTTCAGTCCTAAATAACTGACAGTTTGACAAGATATTTATTAATTTCCATATTTAACCAGTAGTCACCAATAAAAATATTCCTCTTAACCCAAGGCAATGCAGATTTCTATTTGATCATACAAATTTAATATCCCTTGACTTTTTTACTTCCACCTTTATTTCTGCTTAGATTACCAGAATCCTAAGCCAGGTAAAATCAATAAAATTAAAAAAATTACCAATATTTGTCCTAACAGTCATCAGAGTGGCCAGGAAAGTTAAGCACGACTCCAAGATGGTCATCTCGTGCTCAGAATCCAAGAAACTGTTAGACGCCCTTGGAGACACACTCAGAGACTCGAGAACATGAAACCTGTAAGGGGATAAAAAAAAAAAAAAACAGGGTTTAATGTAATGAAACGCCATTTTCTGGGGGGAGCCACTACGGTTCCCCGGAGCTATGAACTCCGCCCGCATCAGTCGATGTGGGTGGAGTTCTAAGCCGACCGGGGACCACCGAGCCAGAACCTGGCCCCCCTCTCACAGAGGTACGAGGAGCAATGGCCCATAGAAATGCACATGCCTCGTGCCTCTGAGGGGGCCAGGTTCTGGCTCGTGGTCCCCGGTAGGCCCAGAGCTCCACCCACATCAACTGATGCAAAATAATTAGGGGTATCCATATCAGCCATGGATAGCTCCAGGAAGCCGTAGGGGCTCCTCCCCAGAAAATGTTCTAAAACAAATGAAAAAACTACTTTTGATTTCAGACAACTAAAAATTTTTTTTAGAATTAGAATTTCAAACTATTTGCAACACTTGTATAAATCCTCCTAATAATTGCTAGTCAATGTCAATGTCTAGTCTAGTCAATGCAAAATGTACACAAGAAGATTTCAACACATTAGCTAACTATTCATGCTTCAGCCAATTGTACATTTCAACACATTAGCTAGCTATTCACACTTCAGCTGATGTAGATTAAACTTTTGTTGCACCTGGTGGTGTTGCAGACCAAAAAGCCCTTAGCAGTTTGAGGGTTAGTAACCTTTAAACCACACAATACATATATAGACGATGGGAGTAACTTTACCGAAACCGCGCAATACATATATAGACGATTCAAGGTCTACAAAGATACATGTGCCACAAATCAGTGACCAAAAATCATAGAAACAGTCATTCACTTGTGTGGACTACTCTGCCTGGTGTCTGGTTCATATGGTTCACTTGTTGTGCAGTCCACTTGTGAGATCCAACTTATCTTATGAAGGAATTATCAATTGTAATCTGTGATAGAATGGGAAAGCTTTCCATCAGTCTGTGAACTGTCCCAACATCGTAAGCAAATCCGCACATCCCCCACTACGGTGAACCTGAAAAGTGTGCGACCTAGCCGGAGATGGGGCGAATCAGGGTACATTGAATCGAGGTTGTACTGTAATTACACACACAATTTTTCATGTCAACAAACGAGAAAAGTTACTATTCTTTCCATGTGTACACTTCCCCACACACTTTTTAATTCATTAGAACACTTATTACCAAGAACTATCAAGACAATGTAGTAAACTGCTACATCAGGTTAGTTTCACTACACAACTTCAGATTATTATCAAAACATTCTTTCATGGATATATTTATTACTTTATGTTTCAATGTTCATCTTAACTTCTATAAAAACTAAATTCCCTGAAATATGAGAAAGTTAATTTTTGTTAAATAAAGATAGTGTAGAGCTAAGCTACAATAAGATACACAAGCAAAACTTAAACCATTGCCATACCTGTCTAACACCGTCAAAATAAAGTTATCCGGGGGTAATTCACCAGCACATATTTGTAAGAGGTAGAGATCAGCATCCACCATGGAGTTGCAGAAGTGGCACTGGATGTACGTCATAGCTTGGCCTTTGATCTGAAGCCCATTTCGCACCCACATGCCACTTAGAATCTCATAGAAAGCTGCCTAGGCAAAGAAAAGCACAAAATCAATTTTATTATTATTACAATATATATATATATTTTATATATATATATTTATATATATATATTTATATATATATATATTTATATATATATATTTATATATATATATATATTTATATATATATATATTTATATATATATATATTTATATATATATATATTTATATATATATATATTTATATATATATATATTTATATATATATATATTTATATATATATATATATTTATATATATATATATATATTTATATATATTTATATATATATATATATTTATATATATATATTTATATATATATATATTTATATATATATATATTTATATATATATATTTATATATATATATATATATATATATATATATATATATTTATATATATATATATATATATATATATATATATATATATATATATTTTATTAAATATGACCGAAAAAGTAAGATTAATAATTCTAACACGAATTTTCTCAATCTTTCGTACATTATGCTTCACTGTTGGAGGTAAATCAAAAATCACTTCTCCAAAATTCATTTTTATTTCTAGTCTAGTCTGACGCGACACGGGCGCGTTTCGTAAAACTTATTACATTTTCAAAGACTTCACAAATACACAACTGATTAGAACTTGCGTTTCCCTGATTTTATATCTACATTTGAGTGAGGTGGGAAGGGTGATGTGGCATTACATTTGAGTGAGGTGGGAAGGATGATGTGGCATTAGAGGATATTAATAGGGTATTAAAAGTATCAACACAAGACAGAACACGAAACAATGGATATTGAATAGAAGTGTTTGTAGAAAGCCTATTGGTCCATATTTCTTGATGCTTCTATATTGGAGCGGAGTCTTGAGGTGGGTAGAATATAGTTGTGCAATAATTGGCTGCCAATTATTGCACAACTATATTCTACCCACCTCAAGACTCCGCTCCAATATAGAAGCATCAAGAAATATGGACCAATAGGCTTTCTACAAACACTTCTATTCAATATCCATTGTTTCGTGTTCTGTCTTGTGTTGATACTTTTAATACCCTATTAATATCCTCTAATGCCACATCATCCTTCCCACCTCACTCAAATGTAATGCCACATCACCCTTCCCACCTCACTCAAATGTAGATATAAAATCAGGAAACGCAAGTTCTAATCAGTTGTGTATTTGTGAAGTCTTTGAAAATGTAATAAGTTTTACGAAACGCGCCCGTGTCGCGTCAGACTAGACTAGAAATAAAAATGAATTTTGGAGAAGTGATTTTTGATTTACCTCCAACAGTGAAGCATAATGTACGAAAGATTGAGAAAATTCGTGTTAGAATTATTAATCTTACTTTTTCGGTCATATTTAATAAAATATGTCTACAGGAAAGACTGCTACCAAAATATACTAATATATATATATATATATATATATATATATATATATATATATATATATATATATATATATATATATATATATATATATATATATATATATATATTTATATATATATATTTATATGTTTATATATATATATATATATATATATATATATATATATATATATATATATATATTTGTATCAACATATTTGTATATATTTGTATTTGTATATATTTGTACATATTTGTATTTGTATATATTTGTATCATATTTGTATCAATATATTTGTATATATATTTGTATCAACCCATGTATATCTTGTAACCATCAAATGCATAATAAAGCACAAAAAATATTCAAGGAAGGGGGTGGTAGGAGAAAAGCACACAGAAACTGTATTGGAGGGGATCTAAACATTCCCTCTAATGCGTTATGCGTGGTTTCCTCCGAGGCTATGGGTCCCCCTTCTTCCAGCTAGAGGTGGTACTTCCTTCCACATACATACATACATACATATATACATATATACATACATATATATATATATATATATATATATATATATATATATATATATATATATATATATATATATATATATATTCATTTATTCATTCATATACTGTATATACATACATACATATACACTCATACACTACAGTAATGATTATGATATATACCTATACACCAAAACAGTGGAACATTGTTTCAACAGAATAATACATTTCTCAAGGGAACCATAACTATAAAAATTGGATCTACAGTAATGGCAACCACTTCAAAAATAATAATTACAATATAATTCCTCCCAATTAAATACAAATTAAATTGTTTATGAACCCATTACATTAGTCACTGAAGACAATTCTCTGCATTGTATCATAAGCGAGTTGATACAAAAGAGAATTATCACTTTAATGAGTAAGAATTGAAGAGATGTAATGGCTAGTGAAGGAGGAGTAATATGTGAGTAATACATAATAACAAATAATAATGAGTAGGTATGTTATTATGCTCTATTTTTGTTATATATCATATAAATACATTGTCCAATGTTATTACAGTTACTTTATGTAAAAAAACAAAAAAAAATTAAGGGATTTTTTTTTTTAGGTTTCAATGTTTTTTCCCTCCTTTGTTTATTATTTGAATTTGTTGTAATCTTTACATCCTGGAGAATGTATACTCCTATCTTACTATGTGAAGACAGAATTAAATTGGTCAACAAATAATGAAGACAGAATTAAATTAGTCAACAAATAATGAAGACAATTAAATTAGTCAACAAATAAATCAGTCAACTCTCAGAACTTAGGACTCTGAATTTTTTGGGGCTGATTTTCTCACACATTTCAAACTCTGTTTTCCTTGTTTCTTTAGGTTGTTTTGATTAGGGACCAGATTAGTTTTTTTTACTTATATAAAGTACAGTATACCCTAAATATATCCCCTAAATCATTATAATTATTATAATTATCCCTATATTTTTTTTTTTTGGGGGGGGGGGAATTATTTATTCTCGAATTCATTTCAACATAGTGACCTACAACTTTCACAATTTAAGTACGAATGCCAAACAATGTTTATTACAACATACAAGTAAATTCATGAATTAGAACTGCCTTATTCATTGTCGATAACTTCAACATCAATTATATCTATAACTAGAATTTCAACTTCAGCATCCAAAAATCTAGTTTCTGACCAATTCTCACCATTTTACATATAGTGTGCATAGCTGTCTGTTTTACAATCGCTATAGAATTGATTTTTCATGAAATCTAGACATTTGGAGTTATAAATTTTTGTTTAAATTTGCACATATTTCAAATGCCATATTGACAAGTTTTTTTACAGTAAACTATACTGAAAACTTATATTCTAAATTATATTCTAAACTTATATGAAAATGAAAATCATATGCTATTCTGAGAGCATAACACCACCAAATGAACAATTGGTGATATTTTATATTTTTGCAGTCGATTTCAAAATCTGAAGTTTTCAATATTCAATTTTATAACTATTTTTTTCTTTTTTTTAAAAGTTACACTGGTATCATTTAGACAAAGTTGGAGCATTTGCCTAGTAGATTATGCACAAAACATTTCAAAGAGTTGCAGAAAATTTAAAAAACTTGAGCTCAATGTCACATATCATATTACAATTTGCGCAGTTTAACCCTTTAGTTGCGCAAGACATCATATGATGTTTTGAGTGACTTGCAGTAAATTGAGCTCAGCATCATATGATGCTTTGGAGTACCGCGCAAGATTTAAACGGCCCGTGGATACACAGGGTTCACCACACCTTCATCAGGGATCTTGTAAACAGACGCCATTTAAAAAAAAAATCGTGGGCCAAATTCCCGGGTGGGAGGGGCCTCAGTATCAAGTGAGCTACCAAGCCTGACGCATGCAGCATGAGCTCACAGCACTGCTGTTCAGCTTGTGACCACAGCATCGCCTAAAAATGCCATAATATACATGTTCTTGCTATTTTTTAGCGATGATATTTCAGAAGACCCCTGACTGTGATAGAACTGACTAGGGTTCTTATAATAGCAGGATTGTGGTGATATTTAGCGCTGTACTCCATGGAGGGAGGAGTAATGCTGAGGGAGGGAAGGTGGTGGCATTGTCTTCTGACTGTCTGTGGACACCTTTTATTGACTGCACTCATTTTTACCGTATCTGAGAACCTGGAATTTATCTCCGTTAAACATCATGTTATTTTCTGCTGCCCAGTCGTGCCTGCCCTCACAGTGACTCGCTGTCTTCTGTTACTTAGGTACTTCCTTACCCAATGGAGCACCTTTCCTTTCACTCCTTCGTGCATCTCCAGCTTGTGCACTAGTCTCTTGTGTGGTACTGTGTCAAAGGCTTCCTGGCAATCCAAAAACATGCAGTCTGCCCACCCCTCTCTTCCCAGCCTGATTTTTTGTTGCCTGGTCATAGAATTCAATTAATCCTTTGAGGCATGACTTGCCATCCCTGACCCATGCTGATGTTGCGTCACAAAGTACTTTCGCTCCAGATGTTCCACTATTTTTTTCGCACAATCTTCTCCAACTTGCATGGTATGCAAGTTAGGGACACAGGCCTGTAGTTCAGTCCCTCCTGTCTATCGGGACTAATATTAGTATAGCTCTCTTTAACCGCTTATTCATAAGCAGTCTTACATGTAATCTAAAAGGATGAACCATAATAGGATGCAGGTGAAAAATCTAAGAATCAAGGAAACTGCAAAGGCCTATTGGCTCATACATAGCAGCTCCTATTTTTAAATGTCCTCAAGAACGATTAAATAAAAAGATAAAGGCTCACAGTACTGAGAGTGCTATCTTAAGTCGGATTGGCATGGTTATACCAAAGAAAAAAGTCAATATAAATCGAGAGTCAGAGTGAAAAAATGTTGTAAGTGGAGTGCCTCAAGGCTATGTCCTGGGACCTATGTTACTTATAATATATATAAATGATTTAGATTCAGGATTGCGCAGCAATATCTGCAAATTTGCCAAAGATATCAAAATTGGGAGGGAAATAAACATTAAGACTCAAAATCACTTCAAGATGATGTAGATAGGGTTTTGAAATGGTCAAAAGTCTGACAGATGCCATTTAAAACAGACAAACAAAGTTATGTGGCTAGGTAATAATGATAGAGCTACAGGATATCAGATGGTGCCGAGATTGTGAAGTCTAATTGCTATAGGGATCTGGGGGCAATGATTGGTAAGTATTTAGAGACAAAAAATCAATCCATTTGAACAAAAGGCAAATATGACACTGGGACTTATTTCTAGAAGCATTAACAATAAAACACATGTTGCCATTCTTCAGCTATATCTTGCTCTTGTCCCATTTAAATTATGTAGTTCAATTTTGGTCGCCATATTATAGAATGAAGACAAATTTATACATGTGTGTCAAGTGTAGGGTGATAATGAAGAGAATTTGAAAAAGCTTAATTTACATTCTCTAGAAAGGCAAAGAGTTAGGGGTGACGTGACATAAGTGTACAAGTGGATGAATGGACATAACATGGGAGATATTACTAAGATATTACATATATCAACACATAATAGAACAAGAAACAATAGATATCAATTGGACAAGTATAGATTTTGAAAGATCTGGATAAATATGGGTTTGGAAACTGGTGTAGATTTGTTGAACACATTACCAAGTAACATAACAGATGTAGGATTCCTTGATTGTTTCAAGTGTAGATTAGACACATATATGAGTGAGTTTGGGTGGATATAAATAGAAGCAAGGTGCACAACATCACAAACCTTTCCACTATTAACTATCTCAATTGTACTGGAATAGAATGACTGCAAATTTTTCAGACACGAGTGGCCTTTAGTAAAATGTGACGTTTATTAATCTATGTTTTTCAAGATGAAGATAAAGACTGAAGCATTTGCAATTACTGACTTGAGCAATTTCCCCACAATAGAAGTTAAGCTAATTAGCAGATAGTTTGATGCAAGTGATTTATCTCCTTTCTTGAAAATTGATACCATCTTGCCTGTAATCCAAGAGGATGAACCATGATAAGATGCAGGTGAAGGAGGGTATTACCTGTAGTCTAAGAGGATGAACCATAATAAGATGCAAGAGGTCTAGTGGAGGCAGCACTTCATCCAGCTGGGCACCCTGAGCCTTGACAGCCTGGCACATGAACACTGAATAATACCGATGTAGTGGCAGGTGAAATGACACCTGGTACGGGTCCCCCTATAAAAATAAAAGCACTTAATTACAAGTACCCACACAATTGAGCATATAAAATGAGAAATTACAAAATCACCCAAATCCTAAAAGGATATAAAAATAAATGAGTAGCCTAAAGAGTTAGGATCTCAGTATAATGGAATCTTACAAATTTAGAACAATCTGACTAACAGAATTATTTGAAAATTTGGAATAGGGAACTAAACTTTCAAGCATATGTAAAATATTCAGAAAAATGTAGCACCATTCCTGGGATTTGCCAAATGTCTTTTAAATTTACAGTAAAAGTGTGGCCTGGAGACTGGAGATATAAAGGCACCATGTACTAACAACAATGAGGCTGGGCCCAGTGAGTAACTCATCACTACTCATACACAAGCAAGCGCAAGCAAGCACTAATACAAATAAATAAACCAAAATTAAATATATTATACACCTTCTCATTCTATGTATAATTAGTGAATAAAATATAATATATGCATACCAGATCAGAATGTGAAAACCCAACTGCAGTAAACCAGTTGTTAAGGGCATGAAGGCATTCTTTAAGCACAGAAAACGTGTAGTGTCGAGTCTCAGAGTCGCGCAGGTGAGACACAAGAGCCCACATGGGAGATGCAGATGCTTCCAGTTCTGCACTGAATGCTGCATAATATGTCTGTGGCTCAAATTCAACATGCTGTGTCATCTCACGTACATTGACATTCATCCCTGTAAAGGAAAACAATTACAATATAATATTTCCCTTCAAATTTTAATTAATGTAGCAGTAGGTACAACAATGGTTACAATGTCATTGCACAGATGAACAATTATCAAAAGTTGTCACAATGTATGTGATCGCTCTCAAAATGTACTATGTTTTCAATGATTTCTTGTTTACAATTCTGGCAGCTGTTCTTAAAGTTTCCTAGCATTGCATATATTAAAGTTATTTTCATATATGCATCTGGAAATGTGTGTGTATATAAAAACAGACAAGTGCACATGCACCGCACAAGAATGCAAACTGCAATTTTCTATTAAACAGCGAGAGAATACTTGAGCTTTTAAATAATCTGAAGATCCAAATAATATTTCTCTATTCTAAGTTATTAGCTTTTATTTCCAACTATTCATCTAAATTTTATAATTTCTGTAATTCAAATTGCTTACCTTGGAACATTGATAAAAAAGAGAACCATTCTTGAATGAGCCTTGGATCACTCATGAACTTGACAGCAATTGGCTTATGTGAAAGAACATTATTAAGATCAGACACTAGTGGCCAATAGCAGTGATTCTTCATAACATGGTCAGCACAGTTGACAACCCTATGAGAATTCCGAAGCTTATCTGTGTGAGAGAAAATTATGTCAGCTCTTAAAAACTTATGAATACAGTACAACTGATCAGCTTTAATGTTAAAACACATACCATATGTGATGACATCCAAGGTGTCACCACCAGCAAAGGTACCTTTTAAATAGCCTGTGAAGTATGATCTATGTTGTCTCGCAGTGTCATCCACATTAACAAATATAATGTTTGTGAAGAAGTTAAGAGAACCAAGCACATTATGATTGACGTAGATGGGTAATAGGGCCCACTCCCATTTGGGTTAACCCACTATTTGGCTTAAATATATTTCTTACAAAGAATATCCAAAACTCAACAAATTAAATAAATTTTGGGGCTACTCCTAACGCTGATTCAGTTACTCTTGTCGCTTACTCAGCTACTCCCGCTGCTTTCTGGGCCACTCCCACTGTTTACTTGAAAACAGTCTGTATAACCTTTAACCCAGATTTACATTAGATGAAAAAAAAGCATTGAATGTAATGAAATGCCATTTTCTGGGTGAGACCCGGAGGTTCCCCGGAGCTTATCCAGGCTGATATGCTAATGTCAGACTTTGGCATCCGTCATGTGTATGGAGTTCTATGGGCCTACCGGGGACCACGAGCCAGAACCTGGCCCCCTCAGAGAGGCAAGGGGAGCAATGGCTTATAGAAACCCCCGTGTGGTTGGAAGCATTTTATGTCTGCCATCGACCGGGTCAGGCATCCAGCAAGGTAAGCGTCCCAAAACAAACCCCTATTCTGGTGAAAATTGCTACCACAAGCCGAACAAGTGGATAGAACTCCTCTAAAAGAAACGAGCAAACGATCATGACGTCACACATCGCCGCGCCGCTGTCTGTGCAGCTACCCCCTCCCCGGGATGGGGAAGGGGGAGCCCCAGACCTACCGCGCCGACTATCTACCATCAGTTCTTCGGCTGATGCTAGAGGCTAAGGTCGTGGGCTCCAGCTCCGGTCGTTGTTTCAGCACTAAACCTAGAGTGTGGTGACTGTCTTCTAGGTGGTGCATGAGCCGGGAGTGTTTCTCCAGTACTCGGGCTGCATGTGCCTAGGGTTTCCTTCCCTAGGTGCCCTGTAAGTACTGCCCTTGGGTAGTACTCACAAGGGCCCAAGACATTTCAACACTCACCTTCTTAATATGTCAAGTAATACAAGCCAACCTCTCTTGGCATTCATGAGGGAACTTGGTAAAAACCTTCAAAGGGAACATGACCAACCAATCTATTATTCTTATGTCAATGTATGTACAGTAGCATCCAACAGCCTAGTTAGAAGGCAAAGTCAGAGGCAAGGGAGGCTTCTCATTCCTGGGGTTAACCTTGTCATATATCTCTGTGAATGTTAAACCCTTTCATCCATTTATATGCTTCAGCATACACAACTGGACACTTAAATTTTCAAGGCTGTGTAACGTATATGAAATAAAAAGGAAAGAAATAATAATGAAGTAATATGTGAGGGTTTGGGGTGAGAGAGGCAGAGAGGTAGAAGGGAGGTGGGAGGTGTAAGGGAGGGAAGGAGTCTGGGAGTAGCGAGGAGTGGGGGTCAGGTGAAAGGGAAAGTTTGAAAAGAAAGGAGGGAGGGACTGAGAACACAGTAGAAAGTAAAAGTACAAGGTAGAAAGAAGTAGAAAGGGCTGCCCTCATCCATTCTAGTTCATTACATACAAGACAAGGAATGGAACTTGTCTGTACTCTAGGCTGTTATCAATTGTTTAGCATGTATCAAATGTATCTGCTGTACGCATGTACTCATACTCTTTAAGCCAGTAAACTCAGAGTGCTCTACACTCTAGCTTGCAATATATCAGAAAATCCAACATCTTGGGAACAAAATTAAAGTCACTTAAAAATAATAAATTAATCAATTATATATTTAACATAATAAGTATCATAATTCAAGCAATTTAACTTAATGCTATGTCAAGATTAATATACAATGTGAGTCCTTGACCAAGAATTTGAGAACACCACGGCTGTCTGCCCCTGAAATCACACAACAGGTGTGCCTCCAGTTGGGGAGACACCCAGATTTGTCACCTTACAGTTCAACTCGCCAAGTGTTTGAGCCTAAGATGGATAGAGAGGGGGTGGAGGGGGTTGACAGGCAGAGTCCCCCTGTCCAACCTCTCTGTCTGCTCTGTTCTCTGCTAATCCTCTATGCTCATGAATGTACAGTTCCCTGGATATTTATGGGGAAGCTGGGAGCTGAACCCCGCCCACTAAGTAGACAGCCTCAGGCCATCTACCTACCACGCCTTACACAGTGGCTTGTTTGAATAACACACCTGGCTACAATTATCAGCTTAGCAGAAGCAAAGTCAATTCACACAACCTGACCCCTGGTCAACTTGTGGTCATTAACACTAGAGGTATAATTTTTTTAATTACTAAGGACAGACAGTCTGACGCCTCAAATATCTTGTCTGACTGACTCGTGTACTATGTACTATAGTTATATTTTATTTTGCATAGTACACCTTTATGGTGTTACAGCTGAGAGATGATTGTTTACAATCACAGAATGCATTTTTTGTATGAAGTGAACAAATGACTTTCCACACTGGTGGAAAGGGGCAATGGTTGCTGAGTGGACAGCACACTGGATATGTAATCCTGTGGACGATTCCCGGCGCCAGAGAGAAACAAAATGGGCAGAGTTTCTTTCACCCTGATGCTCCTGTTACCTAGCAGTAAATAGGCATCTGGGAGTTAGACACCTGTTACAGGCTACTTTCTGGGGGGGGGGGGGGTGTTTGGGAAAAAAAAATAGTAGTTAGTAACAGTTTATTGAATGACAGTTGAGAGGCAGGCCGAAAGAGCAGAGCTCAACCCCCACAAGCACAACTAGGTGAATACACTAAATTATGATTTTGTTTCCAATGACAAGTGTTAAAAATCTTATCTTAAGGGTCAAGTGGCTGCAGCTTTACTTTAGTTAAGAAAGGATTTAAGAAAGATTGTAAGATGTATAAGGCATACAAAGACTGAGAAAACATGATAAAATTAACAACAATTTTCTGGAAAATGCTTACCTATCAGTGACTATGGGGGAGAGATTTAGCTCTGGTGCCACACCTCATACCTAGATACACCTGGAGCACCACTTACCTTAATCACCCTTTAAGTTTTCATCATATGCTTTTTTAAAGTTGTGCAACTGATTTTGACATTATTTTCCTTCTATGCATTCCACTATCCGACCCCCAGTAATGAGCAAGTTTAGAGTTGGTGAAGCAATATTAAATGCTGTGCAGAATTTTTATGCTATTAAAGGGTGTAGCAGAAGAATTTTACAAATTCAAATAACAATAAATTGAAATACATATATACTAAAATCTAATTTGAAAGTAAACTTACCATGTAGAGTTGATGGCACACATATGGATTTCATCATATTTTTCAAACTAACTATCATCACATGTAGTAGATGGAACGAGTCTGTCATACGGTACGCCAAGTCTTGATCGGAGAACAACTGAACAGACACGTGTACAACACGGTTACTTAAGGTTTCAGAGTCTGTACTTTGCACTAACATAACAGAGATTCGACTGTAGTGTTGCACAAATGCCCTGGCAAAAGCATCCTGAAATATAACACACATTTTTAATCATTAATAATGCAAAAAATCCAATGTTAACCAAAGAGTTAGGCAAGCATTACAGATTAGGGATAATTCTTAAGGTATCTAAATCAGAAGTTGAGGATGAATAGCTTTTAGAAATTACATTTATTTCATGTTCAATAGGGTAAAGATGATTCAGGTACCTTTGAATAACTTTGGATATATAACAACTTTAATCCATGAAATAAGATTAACACAAAAATATTCTTTATGGAATATGTATTCTTGATATTTCTGGCATTACAGAAAGTTGACCAGCCAAGTCTGTGCATGATATTACCCATATGACCAGAAAGTTGACCAGCCAAGTCTGTGCATGATATTACCCATGTGACCAGAAAGTTGACCAGCCAAGTCTGTGCATGATGTTACCCATGTGACCAGAAAGTTGACCAGCCAAGTCTGTGCATGATATTACCCATGTGACCAGAAAGTTGACCAGCCAAGTCTGTGCATGATGTTACCCATGTGACCAGAAAGTTGACCAGCCAAGTCTGTGCATGATATTACCCATGTGACCAGAAAGTTGACCAGCCAAGTCTGTGCATGATGTTACCCATGTGACCAGAAAGTTGACCAGCCAAGTCTGTGCATGATGTTACCCATGTGACCAGAAAGTTGACCAGCCAAGTCTGTGCATGATATTACCCATGTGACCAGAAAGTTGACCAGCCAAGTCTGTGCATGATGTTACCCATGTGACCAGAAATAATCTTACCTTATGGACCAACTAAGCATAAGAATTTCCACAAGTATATGGTGCAGATATATAATAATTTTTGTTAAATTTCTTTATACATTAATTCAACAGTAAATACACACACAAACTTGAATATATGAATTAATGCAAAATAATATAAATACTCTAGGATATATGAACATTTGAGGGTATCCCAAATTATTTGCAATACTTGTGTGAGCATACAGTACTGCAAGTCATAATCTGCTGTGGAAGAAAAAGAAATTAAATTACCAATAATAAACATGTAGAATCCTTACCTCATACTCAGTGTCAGGTAGCATATTCAATAGTAAACAAACAAGTTTTTGTGGAAACTCAAATTTTACAGTCCAAAAAACAATTTCATCTAAAAAAGTCTTGTGTATAAGTGGTCCGTTTAGAGTCGCAACATCTGAAACAGAACATGAAGTCGATTAAAATTTATATCTTGAACTTGAAAAATACTTATTTATGTGGCTACCACAAAATTTCATTAAAAATTATAAGGTATCCCTCTAAGAATACTTAACACTAATACTACTTAATCTCATTAGAGCAATTGAGGTAGACATTTCTAATCTATCACAATATATTATAATCCTTCCTCTCTTCTCTATCCCCAGCACCAAGCCACACTCATGCACACTCAAAACACTCCTAAAATTCAAAGATACACAACATCAAACCCACTACAGACAGTGGGTTTACAGACATAATATAATTTTGACCAACTAAATGCGTCTAGAGATGATGTAACAAAAACTGCTCAGACTTGCAGAAATAAAAGTCAGGTCATATTACCACAGAGAATAAGTAATTGACTGTCAGCCAAGAGGCAGTGGGAACATACCTAATAAGTGGCAGAGGAGCCAAACTCAGATATTAGGATCCAGCTCTTAAGCAACATTCCAGCTTTACAGCAGAAATAATAAGTCCTGCCAAGTCTAATAAGCATAGAAGTGGGAACAAGATGCGTTTGCTCATCCCAGGGAACTATGAATTACATCCTCAAACCTCAGATTGGTGACCAGGCCAGATTGGACCTATGCCCAAAAAGGGTTAATGCAAAATCGAACAAAACCTTTCAATCCATCATCAGACTGCACATCCTCCTTCCTCCTCCTTGGAGGAGAAGGACCAGCCTATGAAAAGACCCCCCAAACCAGCATATAATGGGAGGGAAGACTGGAGCTATCCACAAACAATGTTTCTGACTCACCCTGAAACGAAAACCAAGCTTCACCAAAGAAAGGAAGGGTCGAGGGCTACACATCTCCAGGTCAAACATCTCAGCAGATGGTCCTCTAAATATCAGCCTCCCCCATAAAGCAGTTGAAAAGGTGCTTTTCCTACAAGGTAAACAGAAGACGACAGGTCAATTCTTATAGTAAACACGTAAGTCATCCAAAACTTCCGACTTCAGCATTAGATGATAGCAAGCGAGTATTATTCTGCAGAGCTTTCCAGCCGTCCAAACCTTTGAGAAGAAATGTTGTCTAAGCTAACTTATCCAGGCAATGTAGGAAGAACCCCACACCAGATAAGCCAGACAACCAGGAAAACAGAATTCTTACAGGGAAGGGGGGGGGGGGGGAAAGAGTACAAATGACTATTCACAATTTTTTATCCCCCCTCCCCAAATAGTAAACACACACACACACAACTGGTAGATGGTTGGAACAAACTAAGAGAGGTGGTGGTGGAGGCCAAAACCATCAGTAGTTTCAAAGTGTTTAATGACAGTACTGGGAAGACAGAACACCACAAGCATAGCTCTCATCCTCATCCTCTACACAAGCACCAAGTCTACATATAACAGTTTGCAATCTTCTTGATTCTTTAGTTTCCAAATTATTTTGGCATCATTAGCAAATACAGTACTCATTTAGTTGGATATTCATTTGGACAAATTATTTATATACTGTACACTAAAAACCTAAGTGGGGATAGCACCAATCCTTAGAGGCATTGCAACTGAAAACTTTCATTAGATTTCCCACTACTGTTATAGTCAGTGACGGCACTCTCACCAAACTAGCTTCAAGTGCCTGAAGCAAAATAAAACGTTATAGCAAGTCTTGTGCAAAATATTTAAATAAATCTTAATTCACATATTTAGGTGAACTTACCTTGATATCCTGGAGGCACTTCCCCAAAGGGTATACTGTTAAGAGCATCTTCATACAACTTCCTGCTCTGAGTTTGATATTCTGTATTCGAATGATTAGATAACGACCGAGTCAATTCGGAATAAACCTGAAATGTAATACTTAAGGTAAGAATGCTAATCAGTTACAGGCAGGTAGTAGATTTTGTTGTTTGACATATATATATATACTATTCTGCATAGAAATCTATACTTTAACTAAAGTATATAGTGTATTTAAATATGAAAAAAATAGCGTTGAATGTAATGAAACGCCATTTTCTGGGTGAGCCCTGGAGGCTCCCCAGAGCTATCCAGGCTAAATGGATATGTGTAACTTTCTAGCATCAGTCAATGTGCACGGAGTATTTGCTGACCAGAGACCATGAGCCAGAACCTGGCCCCTCTCAAGAGTGTCACAAGAAGCAATGGTCTATAGAAACCCCCGTGTGATTGGGGAGCATTCTACGTCTGCCATCAACCAAATCTGGCACTCAGAAAGGCAGGCGCCCAAAAACAAATCCCTATTCTGGTGAAACTATTGCTACTGAAAGCCGAACGAGTGGACAGAACTCCCTAAAAAAAAATTAGCAAACGAGCATGACGTCATCATGTCGCCGCACTGCTGTCTGAGCAACCCCCCCCCCCCAGAGGGGGTAGGGGAGCCCAGACCCCCACGCCAGCAATCCACCTTTCAGTTCTTAGGCTGGATCCAGAAATACGCAAAAACACCACCGATCGGTCTTTACATCTTTTAGTATGTGTAAGGAATCTTTCAGGACCCTGTATACCACTTATGTAAGACCAATCCTGGAGTATGCAGCTCCAGCCTGGAGACCATACCTAGTTAAACACAAGACAAAGTTAGAGAAGATCCAGCGGTATGCCACCAGGCTCGTCCCGGAACTGAGAGGAATGAGCTACAAGGAAAGGCTAAAGGAGCTGAACCTCACATCCCTGGAAAACATAAGAGTAAGGGGAGGCATGATAACCACCTACAAAATTCTCAGGGAAATTGACAAGGTGGACAAAGACAAACTCTTCAGCACGGGAGAGACACGAACAAGGGGACAGGTGGAAACTTAGTACCCAGATGAGCCACAGAGACGTTAGAAAGAATTTTTTCAGTGTCAGAGTAGTTAATAAATGGAATGCGCTAGGAAGTGATGTGGTGGAGGCTGACTCCATACACAGTTTCAAATGTAGATATGATAGAGCCCAGAAGGCTCAGGAATCTGTACACCAGTTGATTGACAGTTGAGAGGCGGGACCAAAGAGCCAAAGCTATACCCCTGCAAGCACAATTAGGTGAGTACTTGCACAAAGCGTGAGGGGACTCGAGGGTCACATCCATTGGACAATGGAGCCCCCGTGGGGTTTCCCAGGGTTCCTTTGCCTTATTAACAAGCTAAGGGAAGCCCAAGCAGGGTACTGCAAACCGGCGTCCAAAACTACCGAACAAGCTGCAAAAAGCTGAACCCCCTGGAACGTGTCCACTCAGAGGCCTAGCAAGGGGTACCACCAACCACACAAAAACTGAGAATAGATATAATTTTAGATACATACACCCCAACACAGAAGGGGCAACCACCAAGGCAGACACCAACCTCACCAGGCAGAAAAACAAAAACAAAAGCAAAACCCCAGAAGAGGACAAGGTACCCAGGTGGAACAGAGCCGGTCCCTGCAAGAGGTGAAAACTAGCCGAGCAGTACCCCGTGCCCCTACCAGTGACAAAAACTACCCCCTACCCAGAGGCAAACCCGGGCAACAAAGAACCCGGTTGACTCAAAGGGTTAGCAAGTACCGAGCAGTAAAAGACACAGCGGGGGTAGATCCCGAGGCGACTTGTGGAAGGTGGCCCCAAGGGTAGTACTTACAGGGGACCTAGGTTAAGTAGCCCAAGGCACATGCAGCCCAAGTACCGAAGAATATTACTCCTGGCTCGCACACCGCCAGTAGAGATAGCCCATGCCACAAGGCACAGAACCTGAGACAAATTGCAGGAGCCAGAGGCACAAGACCACACCAGTTACACAGCAGCCTGAGAACTGAAAGGTGGATCGCCGACATGGGGGGTCTGGGGCTTCCCCCTCCCAGGGAGGGGTTGCACAGACAGCGGCGCGGCGACATGACGACATCATCCTTGTTTGATAATTTTAGTTTGGGAAATTCTGTCCACTCGTTCAGCTTTCAGTTATCTTGAGATGATTTCGGGGCTTTAGTGTCCCCGCAGACCGGTCCTCGACCAGGCCTCCACCAACAAGAAGCAGCCCGTGACAGCTGACTAACTCCCAGGTACCCATTTACTGCTAGGTAAGAGGGGCATCAGGGTGAAAAAACTACCCATCATTTTTCCCCGGAGCACGGGATCGATCCCGGGACCACAAGATCATACGTCCAGTGTTCTGTCCACTCAGCCACCGGCTACCCAAGCAACATTGCTCCGGTAACAATAGTTTCACCAGAATAGGAGTTTGTTTTGGGGCACCTACCTTTCTGGGTGCCAGATCTGGTCAATGGCAGACATAGAATGCTCCCAACCACACGGGGGTTTCTATGGGCCACTGTGCCTTCAAGCCTCCCTTGAGGGGGGCCAGGTTCTGGTTCATAGTCCCCGGTAGACAACAACAACGTGCACATTGACTGATGCCAGAAAATTATGCATATCCATTCAGCCTGGATAGCTCCGGGAAGCCAACGAGGCTGCCCCCAGAAAAAAAACATACTTTTAGGACACCCATATTTATTTGTTTAAACAATGCTTCCACTCAGTATATTGCATTTATTAGTAGCCATTGTACATATGTTTACTTTCCAGTTTCCCTCATATACTGTCATGTCTATCTGGAAAAATGACATGAAAATTCTGAAAAATTTTGTGTTTTATCACATTAAGGAAATTCACCACATTATCAAGGAAATTTCTGTACTGTATTTCCTTCATAATGTGGTGAAACATTAAAACATTCAACATTTTCATTTCATTTTCCTAGTGGATGCTTATGCATAACCGAATCACGTGTTTTTTGTCATTATTCTTGCATATACATGTACTGTCATGTGTGAGGACAGCTTTTACAAGGACATGACCAAATAATATCTTGAGGTTATCGTGAGATGATTTCGAGGCTTTTTTTTAGTGTCCCAGCAGCGCGGTCCTCGACCAGGCCTCCACCCCCAGGAAGCAGCCCGTGACAGTTGACTAACACCCAGGTACCTATTTTACTGCTAGGTAACAGGGGCATAGGGTGAAAGAAACTCTGCCCAGTGTTTCTCGCTGGTGCCTGGGATCAAACCCAGGACCACAGGATCACAAGTCCAGTATGCTGTCCGCTCGGCTGACCAGCTCCCTAGCCAGTCTGACTATCACCCACCAGTGTAGAGAGGTCTTTTCAAATGCTTGTGCCAGGTCATTAATGAGAAAAGGGAAAGATTATAGATTTCTCTATTGAGCCTTGATTGACTTCTTAAGAAGTTCATTCATTTATAATTATACAAACAAAAATTCAAGCAATATGCTACCTCAGTAAATCAGGCAAACACTTATACCTTAAGCATACCTGGAGACTGTTTCAGGAGTTCTTCTACTCCCCAAGTAAAAGAACTCGGAGTATTAACTACTTAAGTTAATTGTTAATTGGCTGCCTGGTCACTGCCTTAGACCACCACCAGATGTCAACACAACCGAGATAATCTTAGCAACCACTTCCACCTTCATAGTACAAAATTAACACTTTCGCGCACACTGCGTTCTGAAAAAAACTTACCGTATGTGCTTTCGGCGTTTCGCGCGCCTACACTGTAAGACCGAAAAAGTATACACTCTTTTGACTGTCCTGACAATAATTGAAGGCGAACGTATTTAAATTTGGTATCACTGTGTTCGCAATAAAATTGTCTATAAGAACATACCTATAAAATGCCGCCAAAGCATAAGGACTATCAACACCAAATAAAAAACTATTCAGATCACTCGCCGAGAGCGCCAAACAGCAACAAAATGTTTCCACTCTCTTAATGGTTGCGAAGCCTACAGTTGTCCTACATCACTAATTGTGGTATCATTGGAATCGCAATAAAATTCTCTACACGGACATATGCATATAAATATAGATTCAATGACGTAGCCCACCCAAAACAGTGTGGGAAGTGGCCGAAGTGTTACCCGCGGCGGCATATCGGCGAAACTCACTTTGAAAAGTGTATATTCAATTCACTGTCCTGACATTATTTTTCGATGTATGTATTTCATTTTTGTTCCAATGTGTTCGCAATAGAATGTTCTATAAGAACATAAGTATTAAAGGTCACATAAGGATGCGTTCGACCGGCAACATATATATAAACTACGTCGATTATACTCGTCGTGTCAATAATACAATTGTTTTACCACGATGATTCACTGCCACGCCGTTCTCTTTAATAAGCTGTTCGGCTATTAGAAAAAACGTAAATTTCATGGCAAACATTTGTAAACTATTCCCAAGTTGATCGGATAATAAATGGAATTTATACAAATATTTTTTCGCCGGACTACACACGTAGTCTGTTATGTGGAAACGTAAGAAAATTTGGTGACGACCCTAGAAATCATCAAATGCGGGAAAGTGTTAAGATAATTATAAAATAGTACAGTATAGAACAATTTGAAAATGCTAGAAAACTTACATTCGGATTGCACAATGACTTTGTCATTGTTTTTCTCATTGCAGCTCCAAGACGACTGAGGTCCTGAAGAAGATCTAGAAATAAAGAAGACTCGTCCATAGCCACTGAAATCTGGTTTAATGACTCCAAACTGAAAAAAATGAATAGAAATTGTATCAAGTTTTATGACAAGACTCACGATAACTGTGGGAAAACTTCCCACATTACATAAATTCTTGAACACAACATGCAGTATAAAATTAATGCAGTTTTTGTTTTAATCAAATCAAAGTAAATTAAATTAATTGGCCCTAAAGAGAGGGCATACGTGACAAATTTGCTGTAGAAAATGAGGAATATTAAATGTATTGCCACATAACCTAAAATCATCTCACAATCAAAATTTAATTACTTACAGTATTACAACTCTAAAGGCACCAGTCTGAGGACTGAGTGTATTAAAATTGATTCTCTAAATTAAATAAAATTATGAATTATCTAATAAACTAAAAAAAAAAAAAACCCTCCAGAAATTAGTAAAAAAGAAGTTGAGGACGGAGTTCCCCGTTAGTGAAGGAGGACGTGTTTAGTTGACATTTCACAAATACAGTAGTTAACTTCTACATTGGTTTGGGAGTGTTCGACAACCACATTACTACACGCCATCTCCCATGATATGTATCTTTCCTGTGATGTTACATTTATTGTACATGAGCACATTGCATGTATAAATCCATCATTTGTTAAGACGTATGAGCCCACCAAAATCCTGGTGAGCATCTCATAACGTAAATATTAAATATTTAACCATAAAACAATATACATAAGAACATAAGAATCAAGGTAACTGCAGAAGGCCTATTGGCCCATATGAAGCAACTCCTATTTATATCCACCCAAACTTACTCATATATATATACATGTTTAACCTAAGCTTGAAACAATCAAGGAATCCTACTTCTATTATGTTATGTGGTAACTGGTTCCACAAATCAACAACCCCATTAATGAACCAATATTTACCCAGGTCTTTCCTAGATCTAAACTTATCCAATTTATACCCATTGTTGTGTGTTCTATTATGTGTTGATACTTTTAATACCCTATTAACATCCCCTTTGTTATGCCCATTAATCCACTTGTATACCTCTATCATATCACCCCTAATTCTTCACCTTTCTAGAGAATGTAAATTAGGCTTTGTCAATCTCTCTTCAATATGAAAGGTTTCCAATTTGCGGGATTAACTTTGTCATACTTCGCTGGACACTTTCTAGTGAATTTATATCCATTCTATAGTATGGCGACCAAAACTGAACTGTATAATCTAAATGGGGCCTAACAAGAGTTGCTTCGTTGCTTTTAGGGGAACCAACGAAGAGCAACGAACCGCAGGTCCCTCAAAGTGCTCAGAAAGTAAAGGAAGTACCTAAGCAAATTTTGGTTTGAGAGAGATTCCCAAGCGAGGTATTTCGATAGAAGTTTTTGTGCCAGAGATAGGTGAACAGGTTAAGGGTTTGCTATCTGGGAGCTGGAATTGGTGATATTGTTAACAACATGAATGATATTATGGCTCGAAATGAGAACAAACCCATTATTTGTATCAGTGCAGGTGGAAATGTTGGACAAGTTAGGAGTGAGGCACCGATACAGAGGTTTAAGACAGCCATAGAATTAGTTAGGAGCAAGGGAGGAATCCCGATCATGTCGCATTCTTCCAAGAAAGAGAGTTGGAAATGAATGGTTGTCGCCACCATTCTCCTCCCACTATACTGTTTTTGCTTTTATATACAGACGTTATATATAAGTATCTGCATGTTTTGTTTACCATAGCAAACAACTAAGCTGGTATAGTGAGTCCAGACAGTAAAAGGTGGTCGCACAGAGTCAGCAGACAACGCTACCTCCCTCCCCACCAAGATTACTCCTCCCACTACAGCGCTAATTATCACAACAATCCTGCTATTATCAGAATCCTGGTCATTTTTATCACAGTCGGGGGTCTTCTGTAATATCATTGCTAAATAATAGCATGCAAATGTATATTATGTCATTTTTAGGCAATGCTGTGGTCACAAGCTGAACAGCAGTGCTGTGAGCTTATGTTGCGTGCATCAGGCTTGGTAGCTCACTCAATACTGAGGCCCCTCACACCCGGGAATTTGACCCACGATTTAAAAAAAAAATGGCGTAAGTTTACAAGAGCCCTGATGAAGGAGTGGTGAACCCTGTGTATCCGTAGGCCGTTTAAATCTTGCGTAGTACTCCAATGCATCATATGATGTAGAGCGCAAGTTACTGCAAGTCGCCGAACACAGCATATGATGTGTTGCGCAGTTAAAGGGCTAATTGACTGATTGGGTCAGCAAAACAAGACAAGAAAGGATGGGTAGACTGCAAGAATGATTATATTGTATTCAGTTCCTCTCAAAAAACTAATACCAACAATGGGGAAGCAGACAAGGATAACAAGAAAACACTGTGGTGGGTATGGGAGTACTTGACAAGAGAGGAAACAGAGGGTTATAATCAGAGAGGATAAATCAGGCTGGAGAGGAATGGAAAATGGTATTTCACAGAGCTCTGCCCAAGTACCATTATTCTTACTAATTTCTGTAAATGACCTCCCAGAGGGAGCAAGTTTGTACATGTTGATGTTTGCAGCTAATGCTAAGTTAACAAAGAAGAATGGAAGAGGACTGTAGAACTGCAAGAAGACCTTGACAAGCTTCAGGGGGCAGGCACACAAATGGCTGCTGGAATTCAATCCAAGTGTAAGGTAATGAAAATGGGTAAGGGAAAGAGACCCGTATTTAACTACACCATAAAAGGAAAGGAAGTTACAAGACAATAAAAGAAAAAGACCTGAGAGTAGACATAATCCCAACACTAACACCACAAGCTCATGTGAACAGGATAACATAAGCAGCATATGGGAAGTTAGCAAACATGAGAACATCATTTAAGAATCTAAATATGGAGGCTTTAAGTTCATACCTATGTGAGACCATTACTTTATCTCATACAAGATCCTGAGGGGAATAGACAAAGTGGACAAAGGAAGCACATTTACATTAAGAGTAGTTAGGACAAATGGACATCAATGGAAGCTGGAGAGACAGTTGAGTTGTATGGATGTAAGGAAATTCTCATTCCCTGTACGAGTGGTCAGCAAGTGGAATGCATTGAAGGAAGAGGTTGTTGAAGCCAATTCTATGCACAACTAAGAAAATATAATATTAAATTTTTAATGTTGAGAGCAGTAATTAGTGCACAAGGTGTAAACAGCTAAGAGGCAGGGCATAAAGAGCGAGATCCCACTCCCCAATAGTTGCCGAGAGGTAAGCATTCATGCATTTTCTCTAACCCATCACACCACCATTTTTATGAACTGTATATATTGTTCTGCTCTTCCCTTCCAAGATACTGGTTGTCTGCCTTTTCCTTATGATCCTCTTATTTTACACATTAATATCCTTCTCATTAAAAGTTTTGTTCTACTAACATGTCTATAGAACCAAAGTTCAAAGGTCTTCACAGACTCCACATCTCTCGTATACTTCCTCATTGTTATATTCTACATACAGTACCTTGCAATTTAACTTTTTTAATTATATTTATGATCCCATCAGAAGGACTAACATGCAGGTACAGTTTATGCCTTACCTGTGTTCTCGACAATGTTGTATAAAGCGTAGAAAAATTCTAGGCATAAGCGCGTCAGCAATTGCTAAAAGGTCTGGTGGGACTTCTGGCTTGTTTAATTGTGCTTGTGACCCATGTCGATGACAAAACCTGCACCAAGAGGAAGATGCACACTTTAATCATACAACAATTAACTCTTAGGCTGCTAACAAACTTAAGCATTTTTTGGTAGTTCTGAATACTTTCTTAACCATGCTTATAAAGAATGAGGTGGTAGCAATGAGGAAAGCCGACTTCTGCTTTAGAATTCTTCATACTAACAACAACAAACATCTCCTCGAGGTTACCTTGAGGTCACCTTAAGATGATTTCAGGGCTTAGTGTCCCCGAGGCCTGGTCCTCGACCAGGCCTCCTCATTCCTGGACTGGTAAACCAGGTTGTTGGATGCAGCTGCTTGCAGCCTGATGAATGAATCACAGCCTGGTTGATCAGGTATCCTTTGGAGGTGCTTATCCAATTCTCTCTTGAACACTGTGAGGGGTCGGCCAGTTATGCCCCTTATGTGTAGTGGAAGTGTTGAACAGCCTCAGGCTTCTGATGTTGAGAGAGTTCTTTCTCGGAGTACCTGGTGCACCTCTGCTCTTCAACGGCGGTATTCTGCACATCCTGCCATGCCTCCTGGTCTCCTGTGATGTTATTTCTGTGTGCAGGTTTGGGACCAGCCCCTCTCACTGTTTTCCACTTGTAAATTATTATGTATCTCTCCCGCCTGCTCTCGAGAGAATACAGATTTAGGCATTTTAGTCAGTCCCAATAGTTTTGATGATTAACTAAGCAGATTCTAGCAGTAAAGAATCTCTGCATGCTCTCCAAGTCAGCAATTTCTCTAGGTTTCAAAGGGGCTGTCATTGTGCAACAGTATTCCACTCTAAAGAGCACTAGCATCTTGAGAAGTTATCATCATTGGTATACCATCTCTAGTGTGATCTAGTTCTTGTTATCCAACCTATCATTTTTCAGGCAGATGCGATGGCTACTTTATTCTGTTCTTAACTGGAGCAAGCACAGTACCATGAGGGACTGAGCTCTTCACAGTTGATGGTCCAGATTTTATTTTGTTGACTATTTCACATTGGGTTCTGTTAGTCAGGGAAATGAAGATCCATCTGCCTATTTTTCCGATAATTCGTTTTCAACGCATTTTGTGAGCAATAACACCATGGTTACATAAGTCGAAGGCTTTAGCAAAATCTGTGTATATTACATCAGCGTTTTGTTTGTCTTGCATGGCATCTAATGCTGTCATAGTGGTCCAACAACTGTGACAGGCAAGAGCACCCTGTTCTGAAGCCATGTTGCCCAGGGTTATGGAGATGTTGTGATTCCATGTATTGTGTGATCTTACTTCTTAGCACTCTTTCAAAGATTTTTATGATGTGTTATGTTAATGCTATCGGTCTGTAATTTTTTGCCTCTACCTTATTACCTCCTTTATGGAGTGGTGCTATCTCTGCTTTTTAGAATGTCAGGGATAACACCAGTACCTAGGCTCTGTCTCCAAATAATGCGAAGGGCCTACGATAGTTTTTTTTACACTTCTTGATGAATATAGAGTTCCAAGAATCAGGGCCTGGTGCAGAGTGCACAGGCATACTATCTATGGTTTCTTCAATATCCAGTGGGGATAGGGTGACATTTGATATATGATTGGATATTGGTATCATATCCATGAAAAATTCCTTTGGCTCATTTCTTTGTTGTCATCAGTGAACATTCCATTTCCCTTTTGCAGGGGCCCGATACTAGATGTGGATTTTTATCTTGATTTTGCATAGGAGAAAAAATTTCGGATTTCTATTTCACTCATGGCCTTTTGCTCTCTTTGCCTCTCCTGGATTTTGTATGATTCTTGTAGCTTTAGTTCAATCGTTTCTACTGTATTTCTCTACCTAGCTTTCTTCGCCGTTCTTGAGATAGGGTGTGACTCAAGTTGTTCTGCAATTCAATTTGTTTGCCTATAGAGGCAACGTCGTTCCCGTTCCAATCTGCATCTCTTCCTCTTTTTTCTTAGGGATATGCCATTTGAGCATATTTCTAGTGCTACCGAGCATATTTTTTCCAGGCACTGGTTCAGGCTTGCATTTTCTAGTTCTTCCCAGCTTATTTCTGTGAGGTCTTTGTTAATTTGCTCCCAGTTTATCTGTTTATTATTGAAACTGAATTTGCTGAATTCTCCTTCACTGGGATTCGGGACTGGTTTTGCAGGTCTATTCCCTATGCATGTCAGAACTTCAATTGTGATCTGAGTAACAGGTATTTGTAATCACTGTGTTCCAGATCAATTCATCATTATTAGTGAAAATGAGATCCAGCATGTTCTCCTTTCTAATTGGTTCTACTATTTGCTGGTTTAAGGCAAATCTGTCGCACATCCATATTTGCATGCGACTGTTCATTTAGGCACCTTCACGGTTATCTCTCTGATATAACTATTAGCTAGGGGCTTCCATTTCAGGTGCTGTAGGTTGAAGTCCTCAAGCAGGATGATGATTGTGGCTGGATTTGTGAGGTTTTCTAAGCAATGATCTAGTTTCATTAGTTGGTCTTTGAACTGCTGAGGATTTGCCTCCGGTGACTAATATACAAGAACAATAACTACATTTGGCTCTCTATTTTGATCATCAGGACTTCCACCATATCATTTGTGGTGTTTAGCAGCTCAGTGCAGATTAAGTCTTTGATGTACAGGCTGACCCCACCCTGTAGCATGTGTTTCCTGTCACATCTAAAAAGATAGTACTCTGAAATCCATATTTCACCATCATGGTAGTCCTTTGTGTGGGTTTCCATTAAGGCTGCAAACAATGCATTTGCCTCATGTAGGAGGCCAGCTATGAACTTTGTTAGATTTGCCTCTTTTTATACCCAGAATGTGGGTAAATAAAAATGATGTTATCACGTTTGTGGAAGTGCTGGATGCTTTACTTGGTGTAAATATCCGAGACTCTGGTAGAAAGGCCACTATGTTTGTGTCCTCTCTAGCATTTGACCAAGTTGGTGGTAGAGTCTGGTCCAGTTATGTTTACCTCAAAAGAAGTGCATATGGAAAAACACTCCCATATAATAAAAAGTAATTTAATTCAACAGTTTAAGGATTATGACTAAAGTACAATATTTACAAATAAAATATATCCAGTATTAGGTATAATCACATTCACATTACTGTATACTGATCAAGACAATAAATACGTATAACAACTATATGGCACTCTCACATACCCCGATTCCTTCATGACAGCCGAGTTGCCACAGTCACAGGCTCCACCAGCCTGCGAGCGGAACATATTAAAGTCATGGCCCTCGTGGTCCCCTTCCTGTAAAATATAGTATAGTATTAAATGATAAAATAGACGCATTCAAAAAATAATTATATGAATTAAACAATGTGGTGTGTAGAAATAAAGACAACAGAGAAAAATTGAACAAGATGTAGTTACCTTGTTCCAATTTCTCTAAATAGCTTAATGTACCTAATTTAAAAAAAAAAAATAGCAAAAAATAGATTTTTTTTTGTACAAACAGACTTTACTGATTAAATTCCATAGTGAGTGTACACTATACTATTTATCAATGGAGAATATTAGATTTGTTGATATCCCTAATGCATGTCCCTGTGATCACATGATTAGTAAGACTGTGTGCTAGTAGTCTGTAGACAGACAGACATCACAACCTGACAGATCCAGAACCTCCTTCAGAAACCTAAGTTCTCTCTTCAAGGCCTCTTTTTGTTCCAGCAATGTTACTTATATTTGCTCATAGATAAAGTGATGGCCCACTAATATTCACACAATTTTCTGATTATGCTCATGGCACCTTGTACATTTTTGTTGGGTTTATTCTATAATTTCTACCATAACTCACTTTCAGAATATAATTTGAGTGCAGTACTGTATTTTGAAGCTGTCAATAACTAATAATTTTCCTTCCTTATTTTGGTGTTATCATTGAGGAACAACACAGAACAGTGGGTTGTACTGTATTTGTCTACATCTATTGTGAAGATAAAATACGTGTAATGGTTGGTGTAAACAGAGTGCCTTAAAAGACTGAGCTCCATACGATACGCAGACTGGAATTTGGTTTGTTTTTTGTCACTATCATGTTTATTAATACTGTACTTTACTTGTAGGAGTACAGTAGCAAATCTACAATAATAGCCAAACAATAATGTAAGACCTGCAGTAACATAAGTGAGAAAATAGGAAGTAATTTTGTGTGCCTACCATCAGATGAAATTACTGTACTGCACTTACACAGCATGTTAACTCAACTACCATTACTCACTTAATCGACATTGTTAAGAATCATTTTCTTCCATATCGTTCACTCCATTATGTTGTTATTTCACTGTGCAGATTAGGGATCTAGCCCACCAGTATTTTCCACGTGTACATTATTTGATATCTCTCCCGTCATGATTCTAGTGAGTACATTCGGAGAGCTTTGAGACGATCCCAATAATTTAGATGATTAGATACTGTACCTGAGAACATGGAATTTATCACTGTTAAACACCATGTTATTTTCTACTGCCCAGTTAAAAACTTTACTAATATCTGCTTGTAGTTTTTTCAATGTCTTTCAGCAGAGGTAATTTTCATGCTGATTTTTGTGTCATCTGCAAAGGATGATACGAAGCTGTGCCTTGTATTTGAGTCTCTATCTGATATGAGAATAAGGAAAAGCATTGGTGCAAGGACTGTACTTTGAGATACTGAGCTTTTAACTGCACTTGGACTCTATTTTATATGGTTGACTTTATGTTCTGTTCGACAGAAAACTGATTATCCAGCGTCCTCATTTACTGGTTATTCCTATTGACCTCATTTTGTGTGCTATCACTCCATACCTTGAAGTTACCTTGAAGTGTTTCCGGGGCTTAGCGTCCCCGCAGCCTGGTCAGTGATCAGGCATCCTTGTTGCTGGACTGGTCAACCAAGCTGTTAGACGCGGCTGCTCGCAGCCTGACGTATAAAACACAGCCTGGTTGATTAAGTATCTTTTGGAGGTGCTTATCCAGTTCTCTCTTGAACACTGTGTGGGGTCGGCCAATTATGCCCCTTATGTGTAGTGGAAACGTTTTGAACAGCCTCGGGCCTCTGATGTTGAGAGAGAGTTCTCTCAGAGTACCTGTTGCACCTCTGCTTTTCAACAGCAGTATTCTGCACATCCTGCTATGCCTCCTGGTCTCATGTGACGTTATTTCTGTGTACAGGTTTGGGACCAGCCCCTCTAATATTTTCCATGTATAAATTATTATGTATCTCTCCCACCTGCGCTCAAGAGAATACAGATTTAGGCTCTAGTTGGTCCCAGTAGTTTAAATGTTTTACCGAGTGGATTCTAGCAGTAAAGGATCTCTGCATGCTCTCCAGGTCAGTAATTTCTCCAGCTTTGAAAGGGGCTGTCATTGTGCAGCAGTACTCCACTCTAGAGAGCACTAGCGTTTTGAAAAGTATCATCGTCGGTGTGCCATCTCTAATGTCAAAGGTTCTCGTTAACCAACATGTCATTTTTCTTGCAGTTGTGACAGCTGCTTTATTGTGTTCTTTGAAGGTAAGGTCTTCCGACATGAGTACACCCAGGTCCTTTACATTGCCTTTTCGTTCTATGTTATGATTTGACTAAGTTTTGTACGTGGTTTCCGTTTTTATATTTTCATTTTTTCCGTAGCTCATGAGCTGGAACTTATCTTCGTTAAACACCATATTATTTTCTATAGCCCATACAAAGACCCAGTTTACATCTGATTGGAGGTTTGCAGTGTCCTCTATGTTGTCTACTCTCATGAAAATCCTAGTGTCATCTGCAAAGATTCATACAGTACTATAGATTGTGTCCTTGTCTATGTCTGATATGAGGATGAGAAAAAGTACTGTAGCAAGCACAGTACCCTGAGGGACTGAGCTCTTCATGGATGATGGACCGGATTTTATTTTGACGACTATTACACATAGGATTCTGTTAGTCAGGAAATTGTAAATCCATCTGCCTATTTTTCCAGTAATTCCTTTTGAACGCATTTTATGTGCAATAACACCATGGTCAAATTTGTCAAAAGGCTCTGACAAATAGACAAGACATTCTCCATGGTCACATTTATCGAATGAATTTGAAAAATCTGTGTATACTGTACTACATATGCATTCTGTTTTTCTTCTAATGCCTCAGTGATTTTGTCATAGTGGTCAAGTAGCTGTGAGAGGCATAATCTTCCCGCTCTAAATCCATGTTGGCCTGGATTGTGGAGTTCATTAGTTTCCATGAAACTAGTGACCTGTCTCCTGATCTCACTCTCAAATACTTTTATTATGTGGGATGTTAGTGCAACTGGTCTATAACTCTTTGACAATGCTTTGCTCCCTTCCCTGTGTAGAGGGGCTATGTCTGCTGCTTTAAGCGCATCTGGTATCTCACCCATGTCCAAGCTCTTCCTCCATACTATACTGAGTGCCTGTGCTACTGGCACTTGGCATTTCTTTATAAATATTGGTTTCCATGAGTCTGGACCAGGGGCTGAGTGCATGGGCATATTGTCAATTTCTCTTTCAAAATCTGCCATGCTTGTGTTTATATAAGTTATATTTACAGGAATTTGGATATTACGCATAAAGAAGTTGTCTGGATCTTCCACTTTCATGCTGTTTATCGGAGTGCTAAACATGTCCTCATACAGCTTTTTTAGGATTTCACTAATTCCTTTGTCATCCTCCGTGTATGAACCTTCACTACTATGAATAGGTCCAAAACTGGCAGTGGTTTTTGCTTTTGATTTCGCATATGTGAAGAAATACTTTGGGTTTTTCTTTATTTCTTGAATTGCTTTTTGTTCTAGTTGCCTGTCTTCAATTTGATATGAATGCTTCAGTCACTGTTCGATTTCTCCAATCTCCCTGTTTAACCACTGCACTGCAAAAAGTGCCTTTAGGCGCTCTGAGAGTTGTGCTATTTTTTTTAATTAGGCTATATTTTAATTTTTTAATGTTTTCATTACTCTGTGTTTTGAAATGGAAATACTGTACTGTAGTTGTGTTTGGAAACATTTTGACATTATCCGAATACTATTTATAAAAACAAAAATATGTCTTTGACAATTGCACTAAAATATTTTTGCCGAAACCAGGTGCGCAGTCCAGTGGTTAAATTATTCCTTTTTTGTATGAAAAATCGTGTCTGCTTGAGCATTTCCGTTAATTTTTTCCTTCTTTTGTAGTGTCGTCTGCGTTCTCTTTCTACGTTGGACCTCTTTCTGGCTTTCCTCAAAGGAACATGTTTCAGACAGACTTTATATGCTTCAGAAGTCAGTAACCCTTATAATAACTCTTGAATAACCTTCTCGCTTGTTGTTTCTCTAGGGCCTACTACCGTTATTAATGTTAGTTTGGACTTCAATGAGCTTGTGGTCCGAGTACGTAGTGTCTGAGACAGAAATGTGTCTGATGAGCTCATCATTGTTCGTAAATATCAGGTCCAGCATGTTTTCGTTCCTAGTTGGTTCTGTAATCTGCTGATTGAGCGAGAATTTGTCACAGAACCTCAGTAGTTCTCTGACCTGTAGTTGGTCTTCATCCCTTCTATTTCCAAAGAATATTTCACACGGTCCATGTGTGGAAATAAATGTTATGAGCATCTTGCAAGTTGAATTCTTTGCTCAAAGCCACATGTGGAAGTGAAAGAACATAGAAGTGAGACCACCTGAGGAGCTGCCTGAGCGAATGAGTTATGAGTGCATGTATAAAGCCGGCCATTGTAAGTACAGCAAGTACAGTACAACACCGATTTGAACCTTAGCAATCTGTATTTTTCTCTCTGCATGCAGATCTACCAATAGTCTCTTTCAGCTAATACCTACAACAGATGAGGTGTTGAGATACAACAAACTGTTGGTAAATACCTGACTTCCCTGTGCATAGGTTCGTGTTGCACCTGACGCAATGTCACTCGATAAAGCGATGAGTACTCGAGTTCATTTTCATCACATATTTAGCTAATACCATATTTGTTTATGTTAATTATATGTCCCATAGTCATATTTTGTGTATGATTATTATGATTTATTGTGTATGTATATGTAGTACGGAAGCATCAGAACGAGCTCCATGAGCTTTCCCTTTGAATATCGGCAAAGATAGAAAGCCACGTTAATTGATTGGTGGTCATTAAGTGAGGTTTGTTTCCCCAAGATAAACCATTATCAAGGAGCTAGATTATTACATGTCTCTTTCAATTAGCTTTTGTATGACACCAATTGAAAGTAGTTATCAAAGAAGGCACTAAGCTGGGAAGATTATGTATTACTGTCTGAGTCACAAAGTATTCAAAGGACACTAAATATCACTCAAGATGCCAATATGGAAACGAAGTACATAAGGCGAATGATATCAAAGGCACAATTAAACCCCATATACATTCGTAAACAAGTTATTGAATAAATTTCTGTTAAACAATGTCAACGATGTTTCCATGAAACATAACTTCCAAAGAAATTGTTACTTGCCATTGGATACTCCAGTAAATGACACCACCTAAAGATTCTCTAAATTTTGCATAAGGAATTCTCAGATCAAGAAGATCCTGAACTTGGGAAATTCCTGTCCAAGACTAGCCATCCTCGGTGAGGCCTCCCTCGACAGCCATACTGGAGTACGTGTACTGCTGCTCTGGTAATCGCATATCCCACTGATAACTTTCTGCAAGCCATTTACCATATTCAAATAGGGGATTTTGCACTGCAGAAAGTGGTCACGAAAAAGTAACACTTTCCTTTCAGATATGTAAAACCAAAAATTAAAAGAGCAAAAATCAAGCCTTAGCCCAATACATAAGGTCTCCAAGACCTATCCACTGTCTATCAAGTCAGACCATAAACACAAACTAGCAAACAGCTCCTTGACAGTCTTTTTTGTATACGGAGCAGTGTCTGAAAGATGTTGCTGTGTCTTAGAATGAACATTTTTGAGGTTATCCCAGATTAGATTGCGAATTCTCCAGTGTCTGTCTCCTTTGCACCAGCAGGACATACCTGCAGAGTGAAAGTGTCTCAGGAGTTGTTCTACTCCCCAAGCCCAGCCCCAAGCCAGGCTCGACGGGACATGGACATTTGAACTACTGCACCAATGCAAAATGTTAACCTGTACATAATCTGGTCTATGGAAACTGTAGAACCTTGCCTAGCTTAAGAAAACAGTAGTGTGGTACAGTTCAGTATATGAAATATATATACATTAATTATAATATGAAAAAATGTCTAACGTCATCTTTACCAGGAACGCCTAATTCTTACCTGAAAACACTGTGCACAAAGACTCATGCAAGGTGAAATGCCACACGTTCGACAACGATACGCCACGAAGTTGGCTGTCCAGACCAGACCACAAGTTGTTGCATTGTCATATCGTCGCACTGGGAAAAAGAAAATTTTATTCTTATAAACAAGTATGTTTATTGAGACAAGAAAAATATACATCTTAAAGGGATAAAGTAGCTTAAGCTATTTCTACCCCCCCCCCCCTTTTATAAACAATATAAAACCAAAAAAACACAGTTAATGTCTGCTTCCTAAACTTTTTTTTTTTTTTTTTTTTTTTTTTTTTTTAGCTTTCCACTCTTCTTTAACATACCATTAGACAGCATGACTTGACCTGACTTTTTACTTTAGCATGTCTTTTAGCATGACCTAACCTGCCTAATGGTCATGCTGACCATTAAGCTGATACCATATTCACAGCATGACTTAACTTGTGTTTAAAGAAAGCAACAGGTGTAATCTTCAGTGCCAACAACTGATCTCCCTCTCATGGCAACCAGGGATATACTGTACAGTACTCATGGCCGCTGGCAAGGGACTAGCGTTGAAACTACAGTATGCGTGCGAGATGCGTGTCAGTATGTTCTAAGTAATACACAATTAAGCCAATCTAAAAAAAAATACATGTGAAATGGAAATAGTTGACATTGGAAACATTTTGACATTAAGAACATTTGTAAAAATAACAAAAAATGTGTTTAGTGATAGAATTTAAAAAAAAAATTAAAGACAATTTAATAAAAATAAGTGGCTTCCAAACATATCTGTTAATATGTCTACAAAATATGGTGTCAGTGTATATAATACATAATGAGGTACAATAAATACTAAAAACATACATTTAGCATGAGCTCAAGCTAATACTAAGACTGCCATATCCATATTAGTACAAGATTGTGTGTTCTCACCTAGGTGTGCTTGCAGGGGTTGAGCTCTGGCTCTTTGGTCCCGCCTCACAACTATCAATCAACTGGTGTACAGATTACAGATTGTGTACAGGTTGTGTGTAATTACCAAAGTGTAGTTACAGGATGAGAGCTATGCTCGTGGCATCCCGTCTTCCCAGCACACTGTCATATAACGCTTTGAAACTACCGACGGTTTTGGCCTCCACCACCACCTCGCCTAATTTGTTCCAACCATCTACCCCACACAGTTTACAAAAGTGAATTTGCTTATATTTCTTCAGCACCTTTGTTTAGTTAGTTTAAATCTATGACATCTTGTTCTTGAAGTTCCAGGTCTCGGGAAATCTTCCCTATCAATTTTATCAATTCCTGTTACTATTTTGTACATAGTGAAATCCTCTTTTTCTTCTATCTTCTAGTTTTTGCATATTTAATGCCTCTAACCTCTCCTCGTAGCTCATGCCCTTCAGTTCTGGGAGCCACTTAGTACCATGTCTTTGCACCTTTTCCAGTTGATGTGCTTCTTAAGATATGGGAGCCATACCAGAGCTGCATATTCTAGCTTTCGCCTATCAAAAGTCGTGAATTTCTTTCATATTTCGCCATCCATGTATTTAAAAGCACTTCTGAAGTTAGAAAGTGTGCCATAGGCTTCTCGCACAACGTTCTTTATGTGGTCCTCAGGTGATAGTTTTCTATCTAGAACCTCTCCTAGATCTCTTTCTTTATCAGAAATCTTTAAAAAATTTTCCACATAATTTATAGGTTGTGTGGGGTCTACGTTCTCCTATTCCACATTCCATAACACGACATTTATTTACATTAAATTCCATTTGCCAAGTGTTGCTCCATATACTTACTTTATCCAGGTCTTCTTGAAGGGCATTACAATCATCTAATTTACTTATCCTTCCTATTATCTTAGCATCATCAGCAAACATGTTCATATACAGTGGTACCTCAGAATACGAGTGTCCGTGTATACAAGTTTTTCGGAATACGAGCAGAATTTGCTCGGAAAATCTGCCTCGGAAGGCAAGGGTGTTGATGCGCGTACAGGCCAACCTTGAGTGGTGGCACGGCGATCGCCCCTCAGTTTACTAGTGCCTCGTGCCCAGTGAATATCCCTCCTGAATTCTTCACCAGGATTTTCAGTGTTTTGTTGGATTTTTGGCCATTTGACCATAAAAGTTGTTATTATATATCTCACCATGGGTCCCAAGAAAGCCAGTGGTAAGGATTAAGGCAAGAAAGCGCATGTGAGGATGACAATAGAGGAAAACAAGAGATCATTCGGAAGCATGAAAATGGTACACGTTTTGTTGGACAGTACAACAAAGTCACGTCAACAATATGCACTATACTTAGCAAGAAAAAGGACATTATGAGTGCTAAAGTGGCAAAAGGCATAAGAACAATCACAAAACAAAGACCACAAATACTTGAGGAAGTGGAGAAAGTTGTTATTAATTTGGATACACAAGGAGTTAGCAGGTGATAGTGTTTTAGAGGCCATCATTTGTGAGAAAGCCAGGATATTGCATGAAGACCTTTTAAAGAAAACCCCTGGAACGAGTGCAGATACAATAGACTTTAAGGCAAGCAGGGGATGGTTGGAAAAATTTAGAAAAAGAAGTGGTATCCATAGTATTGCGAGGCATGGGGAGGCTGCCAGCTCAGACAAACAAGCGGCTGAAAGATTTATTTAAGAATTTTAAAGAGTTTGCAGAGGCTGAGGGATACCTACCACAACAAGTTTTTAATTGTGATGAAACAGGACTGTTCTGGAAAAAGATTGCCTAAGAGGACATACATTACCAAGGAGGAAAAATCATTGCCCGGACACAAGCCTATGTCCGGGCATAGGTTTACGCTTGTGCTGTGTTCAAATGCGAGTGGCGATTTGAAAATTAAACCTTTGCTTGTGTATCATTCTGAAAATCCAAGGGTTTTCAAACAGTATAAGGTTTAGAAAACCCAAATGTGTGTGATGTGGAGGGCTAATAAAAGGGCATGGGTGACTAGGATTTTTTTCAGGGTGGGTGAATAAAGTGGTGTTACCTGCCACAGAAAAATATCTGCAGGAGAAACATTTGCCACTCAAGGCCCTGCTTCTCCTCGACAATGCTCCTGCTCATCCTTCAGGCTTGGAACATGAATTGTTGCACAGATACAGTAAATTTCTCACAGTAAAGTTCCCTCCTCCTAACACCACTCCTAATTCAGCCTATGGATCAGAAAATCATAGCGAATTTTAAGAAACTTTATGAAAGGGCACTTTTCCGGAAATGATTTGAGGTGACTGAAGCCACAAAACTCACCCTCAAAGAGTTCTGGAATGACCATTTTAACATTTGTAGTGCTTTAAAACTCTTTGACAAAGCCTGGCAAGAAGTGATTCAAAGGATCCTGATCTCTGGCTGGAGAAAATTGTGGCCTGAATGTGTGACAGAACTAGACTTTGAGGGGTTTGAGCCTGTAAATGATGTGCCTATTGTTGAGGAAATTGTTACTCTGGGCTGGCAAATGGGCTTGGAATTGGATGGTGATGATGTGGAGGAGTTGGTGGAAGAACACGACGAAGAACTGACCACCGAAGAACTCCAAACCCTGCAAAAGGAACAGCAAGAAGACCCAGCTGAGAATGTTTCTCCAGAGGAGGAGGCAGTACAGAACGTCCCCTTCTGCAACCATTAAGAAGTGGTGTCAGATGTGGGAAGAAATGCAAACTTTTATTGAAAAGACTCACCCAGAGAAAGCTGTAGTAGGGTATTGCATTAATCTTTTCAATGACAATGTGATGCCTCACTACAGACATCTTGTGAAGAAGGGAAAAACAATCTTCCATGGACAACAAGGGTAAGTAATAACTTGAACATAGTTTTGTAGGTTTATTTAGATGAATTAGGTATAAAATTTAGTTGTAAGTGAGGTTTTTGGGTAGTCGGGAACGGATTAATTCACTTCCCATTATTTCTTATGGGGAAATTAGCTTCGGTTCACGCGTTTTCGGAATACAAGCTGTCTCCAGGAACAGATTAAACTCTTAAACTGAGGTACCCCTGTAATTATGTATTCCATCTGGTAGATCTTTTATGTAGACAATGAACATTACCGGTGTAAGAACTGAACCCTGTGGTACTCCACTTGTGACATTTCTCCAGTCCAATACATTGCCTATATGTATGTGGGAATGATAGGTGGGAATGATGCTGGTGTGAGTGTGCGTGTGTTCGAAATTTGAGCTCGACATGAGGCTACACCCTTTCAGCCCCCTCTCCTCCTAGTGTAAACCCCTGTGTCCAGTGTTCATACAGAGTATACCAGTTATCCCCATAGTGTAACCCCCCTATGTCCAGTGCTTATACTGAGTTTACCAGTTATCCCAGAGGGTCCACCACCTCAGGCCATATAGTGTTTCTGACCATAAATACAACACCACAAAAGAACACAGTATTGTTTTTCCTAGACATCACCTTTGGGAATTACTTCCTTGTACCATATGATAAATAACAGAATCCTCATTCTGTTATGTAAATAACAGCACAATAGTATAACAGTAGGTAACAAAGAAATACAGGTTTGCCATATGCTAAAACAAAAGGACAACAACTGGCAACTGTGTGGCTATCCCCAGTGTATAAAAACTTTGCCCCCAGTAAACAGGGACAATATGATTGTAAACAGAGAAACATGGGAGAAATATAAAGCCCTGAAGGAACAAACACAAAATTACATGTATATAAAAATAAATTTCACTTATTATGCAGAAGTGAATAATAATAAAGGATGGTGAAACAGTCATGTTCTTTGGGTATGCAGGAGAGATTTGCCTGATTCGAACATACTAACAGATCTCCTTGATAACATGACTAATGATCATAAAACAATTTTCATGAAGAACCTACCAGCTATTCAGGTAGAATGGGAAGAAACAAACAATAGTGGTGCAAAAGCAGATGCTGTTGAAACTGAAATAACAGAAAAAGTGTAAGAATAGGAAAATTATAACTTAGAATCACTGTATCCAAATAAAGATAACAGAAAAGTCAGTCTAACAGACAGCTCAACCAGTATATACAGGAAAAAAAATACTAATGAGAGAGAATCCAAAAAGACAAACCATATGAAAATAGTATTATGCCAAGGGACTATGGAGCTGGGTGCTGCAGGTATCTCATCTGTTG